CGACCTAAGATCGCAAGATTTCCTTCCTCCCTCTCGAGCGAGAGCGATCTTACGCAAATAATAATCGTGCGCAAACATGAGCGAATAAAGACGTGCCGACGTCGTATACGTCATGTCAAACACTTGTTCCTTCGATTCAAAAGCCGCGAACAAAGCCGGTACGTCGGGACGTTTGATTCGAAAGATGTCTCTCTCTCTCTCTCTGCACATGCAGGCCGGGCCGCGTGTTCAGAGCGAAGCTGCAGGTGCAGCGGTCCCGTGACGTCGGCATCCATTGTTCGTCGGTGGCGGCAGAAGCACGCCAGATCCTTGCACGTAGAGCAACGACTGCGCACCGCGCGCTTTTACGAGCCTTTCTTCCAGCCGGGGGATTCTTTTTCGGCCGAACGGCCGTTCCTGCCTCTCGGCGGCGAGAGAGGCGCGCTGCAAATGGCAGAAGAACGCGCGCATACAACGGGGCGGCCGCAACGGATGTATAGATCGAACGCGGCGGCGGCGGCTCCATTATGCCCTCCTGAACTCGTCCTGGGAAGGATGAGAACTTATTACGCGTCGTAGCTGCGGCGGACTTCGCTATTGTCGTTGGTCTCCCGCGCGTTCTCCTCGGAGTCGACGCGCGTGTCCGAAGTCACGGGCTTACATAACGGAATGATCTTTCAACAGGATGATCGGCGTCCGTTATAAATAAGCGGCCCCGCCAGATCAATAATATTGAAGTACTTCGCTTTCGAGAAATAGCTAGGTCGCCGATCAGCACGGCAAGCGCGAGTTCGGGCCGCGCAAATATTGAAGTTTCAGAACCTGCACGGGAGAAGGATTGATAAAAAGTTTGGTACTAAAAACGGCCCACTAAAATTTTTGTGTTACTTTAACATGGGGAATATGTTGAAATGTAGACAGGTATATGTTAAATTAACATATTTACCTTGTTAAAAAATATATTACTTTTAACATATTTATCCTGTTAAAGTAATATAAAAATTTCCACATAAAGTAGACCATTTTTAACACAAAATTTTTCGTTTACGTTACGTATGTATATAACATAATAGCGTGTAAAATATGGATAGACATTATTTGCCGTGGAACTAAAAGATATGAATACGCTTATGATTGTGTAACAAAACATTACGTTTTTACAAACAAAGCCAATTTTTTAATCTATTTTAGTCGGGGGGAGCCGCATCACCACCCCTGTTCCTCTTCAACTCATTAAGCAGTGTCGCCACAAATTTTTTAAATAATGCCCTAAGTAATAAATATTCCATAACACTGAGTCTAGAATCGATCGAACAACACTAACGAATCGCAACCGTTGAGTTTTCAATTTAGAACATGGATCATTGACAAAGTAACCGCATAAAATATAAATGAGGAGCTGTAATATCAATTGCTCCCCTACTAATTTCTCTTCTTTCTGTGTGGTTAGCCGACGGTGGCGCCGAGCCGGTTTATTAACGAGCCGGGAAAGCGCGGAGCGTCCAGGGGGACTGTCTCATCAGAGTAAATCGTTAAATTACATAAACTCACACTTAGCCGGCTGCAATGTAGTTTGCGCGCTTAGTATCCAATCACGGACTTTCATTTGCGTGAAACGGTACTCCTTCTATCGACCGCTATAAAAGCCCAGCTTCCCTCGTAAACCATCCCGGTGCTCTTGTTAATCTAACGTCCGGCTAACTAAGCCCGACACCTGCTGCGACCTTGCCTGGAGACACTTAATTAGCTTATCTCGCGGTCGCGCGCTCTCCCGATCGCCGCGAAATCTTGTTTCGCGAAGCGGCGCGCTTCGATCTCTCTCTCTCTCTCTCTCTCTTCCTCTTTCATTCTTTTTACCCCTCTGTCTTTTTCTCGCCTAACTAATGATACAAGCGGGCCGATACGCCAAGCCGTAACGGGATATTCGCGCTTCTTTCGGCGCGAGGAAAGCTCGCGCGTCCATCCGTGAGACCACGAGGAAGAGGTGTGAAACTTTTACCACGACGCGGTTTATAGGCGTTCAACGCGCGAACGCGATCCGGGAGAAAGAAATTCGCCCGCGGAGAGTTCCGGGCAATGCCGGGCATCGCAGCGGAGAGACGCGTTGTGTGTGCGTTTGCAGCCGGTTCGACTGCATTTCGTGCGACGACGCACACGCTCGTTCTCGCGCACGGTACACAAACACCTCGTGCACACACGCACACACACATATATATACACACACATGCACGCATATGTATACAAATGACCAGACGCGCGAGAGACCCCGAATCTTTCCGTGCGCGGCGGTCGCGTCTTCGTTGAGTCTCGAGCGGGCCCCGACACGAGGGGCCCGTGAGCCCCAGACAGGGGAAACCATATGTGAGGTGTATGTGGAAATCGATCGGCTCGTCGTCGGGAGATGTCGATTGCGAGATTATGTGAGGTTGCGCGAGTACAGTTGATATTTGCCCGACGAAAGTATCGGCGTGCGACATCAGTGTTGAATCGCGGTTCTTTCCATACGTAAATCTGATTCTGACGTCTGAAATTTTTCTTTTCGCTGCTTTAGCGTGAAAATAGATTGTCGAGGGTATGTTAAAATTCAATCTGTGGAAGTTAAAAAGCGTCAGTATCGTCGAAGTAAGTTTTTATTAGCTTATAGGCTGTCTGAGCAGACGCGAACTATTCTTAAGAATGTCAGAATAACATCAAAATTTCGACTCGGGATAGCTGTAGTTTAAAAAATATATGTTATATTGTAATTTTTGTAAATTAATAGCATGAGAGGTATAAAAGTATAACAGTAGAATATATTTGACTAATTTCTTATTTTTATATTTCATACTGCCAGATAAACTAAGATTTCTTTCATATGTTACATTATTGGGCATCTCTTTGAACGATCTCGAGATAAAGAATGTTATGACGAAAGAATAGAAATAGAATCTTTATCTTTCTACAGGAAATTAAAACTAATGTCGCGTTCATCAACTCTTATAAAACTGCCATATACACCATCTCAAATTTAAAAATTATCTTTAAAGAAAATGAATTTAGAGACATTCTCTTTTCTCTAACATATAACATTCTCTTTTCTATAACGTTGTTTCAACGTTAAGATCGCGCGTGTTATTCTCAGGATTGAATTCGACGCTGTTAACCCGCGATATTCGCTCCAATATTTCTCAACTGATAGCTCGCGATTTCCTTGGGAATATTCTTTCCGTCGTGGCTGAAGAGCCGCGGGATATTGAAGCGCCGTCGAGATTCCAGCACGGATACAGCCACCCACGTACGAACGAACATATTCGTTCCTGGCATTAGGCTAACGCGATTCGATCTTCGGTGACGCGCACGTACGTCCGCTTGCCCGTCCGTCCATCCGTCCGTTCGTTCGTTCGTTCCTTCATTCCGTCTGCCTGCCCTAACGTTCCCTTCTCGGACGCGCCTGGAATCGCAATTTCAAGCACCCCGACGCATCTCTCTCGATCCGTAACCTACGCTCGGAATAGCTGAGAGGTTTCTTCCTAGCATCGTGCCGAGGACGCTTTATAAAGCGCGATACGTCGCTCGGCGTCGGCATTATAATCGCGACACCGATTATTAATCGACAACTTTTAACTAGAAGAGGCGTGCAGGGGCGTTTTGCGCAACGGGACCTCTCGCGCCATATGGCGAACGGCCAGGCGAAAATATTGGGCTTTTTTTAAATACATAATCGCATCCTTTGATCTCCCCGCAGTGTATAACTTCAGCCATTACCGTACATCGTAAATTCCAGCGATCGTTCATCCTCGAGATACCAGCTATTCATCATCGTGAGCTACTTTAAAAAGCGAAATATCGCGAAGGTATCAGGTAACAATCTCGCGAAATATTCATCAACTTCCATGGCCACAATGGTTCGATTTTTAGACAGACTTCGGTGATTGCAGCGATAAAAAAGTCGATAACTCTTGGTTGTTGTTGAAAAATGTGCGGCCGAGCGAGTCCGAGTGAATGTTTGGAAAAACGAATGGCGATGTTATTCCTGTACGCGCGTATCTCGTATTTCTGTTACCGGGTAGCGGGCAGGTAAGGAACGCTTACGTATCGTAAGCTCGCGACCGCACCGCGCATTCAAATCACCGGTCAGTGCTCCGCTGGGTTATCCTATTCGCGCTGCAAGCAGCGATCGCGCTGCACTTTCGTAGCGGAAATATTAATGTAAACGTGTTGCTTCGCGGACTCGCGCGTCCCGGTGGATCGCAATTACGCGAGGATTAACATGCCCCCTCGCGGTTAACCGTGGCCGGCAACTCGAAGCCGAGCGTAACGTCGCTCGTTTTCAAAACAAACCGCGTTCCAACTTTTTACAGCTCAGTTTAGATAGAGACGATCGCCGCACGGACCGTAAATCGCGACGCAAATCGACGCCTCCTGACATTTTCGATCTTTCCGTCGCCTCTCAACATCCTGTTTCATCGTCTATTGTGAAAAGTGAATGGCACTATGACAGACTTGTGCGTTCAGAACTTCACAATATGATAATAGGATTCAACCAGGCAGCGCCTTTAAAGCTCACAATTCCACGAGTCCGATTCTTTTGCGCCTAAACTTGGACTATCATGAAATGTTTTTTATCGAAAAAGCGAGCGATACTCGCACTCCGGAAAGTAGCGTTATCACCGAATTTCCGTTAAATCGTTGGACGAATTTCCGTTAAAAGTTTTTCTCCATTAATCTTATCAAGCCTTTCACCCATGCATCGTCGCAGCTGTAAATGCGACGCAATCTTCTCGACTCCAAAGAGCATTGCGAGGAGGCAAACGGTCTACATTTGAATATAATTTTGGAATTCGCATATTTCCTCTTCTCAGTTTGCAAATGTCGAAATATCGTTTGGAGGTAGTCACTTCCCTTCTAACGAAATATATTTACATATATTTCCGAAGAGAATCATAATCTTCATTCGATCGTATTTTTGTGACCGAGCTCTTTAGTATTCGCGCTCTTGAAGGTCGAGACGAGCAGATTCTCTTCTCGGGCATTAAACTCACCTTACAGGCGTTCCTAGATCCCCATAGCACACCGATAAACACGAATGATCTTTCGTCTCACTAATAACGTACGCGGGCTCGTCGAAATCCCAAAAACAGCGTGCACGTGATCTCACTCGCGACCGACCCGCGGCGAAAGACGAGGCGGAGAGCGAGAGAGGAGGAGGAGGAGGGCAGTTAAGGAGCGGAAAGGTCGGGACGAGAGAATTCACGGAGAGCCGTTTAAACGGACGAATGGAACGCGGGAAATCACGAACTACCGAGACGATCAACTGCCAGCGCGCGATCCACTTACCCTACGACGGACGCGGACTTTGGAGTCTCTGAAGCGCGCCCCGGCCGTTCGCTCTCGGTGCGAAGGACTCCGCGGGTCTTTGCGCCTGCGTAACCCCTCTACCAGGTTGACAGGATGATAGGTGGGGAAGAACGAACGAACGACCGGCAACCCCCTTTCCACGGACTTGCTCCTTTTCGCGGGTTGCCCGGTGTTTATCGTGTGTGTGTTTGTATATGTGTGTGTGTGTGTGTGCATGCGTGCGGGCGCTTGAATGTTGCGCGCTTGTGTCTGTAACCCGCGGTGTTCACCTGCGAATGAACCTGCTCAGGTGGCAGCACCTCGTGTATCCGATGATAGGACGAGGAACGAGGGGAGTCGAGGGAGCAAGGTGTATTGGTACCTGTCTACCCGTGGGTGAGCAGATATCAATATTCATCGCGATCGACTTCACCCTTTTTCCAGCCTGCAGCTACGACACACATCCGCGGGAGCTTTTAAAACTCCGTCGAAGACGCATCGGTGGCGCATCAATGAGCGTTCGTTCCTCGGAACGCGCGTGCGCGTGATAATTAAAAAAGCAGCTCGGATGAAGCGAAATCTTAATTACACGCGAAGCTAGTTTCGAATAACTTGTAATTCGCGGATTGTCAATCGTAATAGAGGGGAGAGCTCGGAGAAAAATTATATATTCACGGAGATTTATAGATCTTTAAATACTTGTTGCCTTTCGTTTCGCCAGGCGAAATCGTAGAGAGAATTTTATCCCGTACTCGTCGCGCAAACTGCAGATCTTTCATTGAGAGAAATTATTTCTTTCGGCCTCAACTATACCTTTTCTGATTTTAATCACAGTAGTAGTAGCAATATGCGTGTAAACTTATTGTTACTGACACTATGGTAAGTATACTGAAAAAAAGTGCTAAAATTAAATAAACATAATTACCTATTTCCCAGCCTTTTAAATAAAAATATTTAAAGTAATATTTGCATTAATTTCAGTATATTTTGTGTGATGGTTTACAATAAATATTTATTTGAACGCAATAATATTTTAATTTATAAACAAACTACTGAATATAAGTGTAAAATATTCTCAATTGAAGAGAATATTTAATAAAATTATATAATATTTCTTTCATTCATTCATTCTTTCCATTGGAGAAATTTAGTGTTTTAAATTTCGGTTTGTCTGTCGAGTAAATATTTTCTAAAATTAAAGTTCTAATATTCTTAATATTATGAATTTAACACTTGTCGGAATTGTTTTAACACATACAAGTGTCTACTTATACTAAAAAATGAGTTTGGTTGGATTTATCCGATAGTGAACTACTAAACGCTTTTTGGTTGATGGAAACAGAATTTCTGGTTACAAAAATCAAATTTGGTTTACGAGAAGTAGAAATTTTGTCTCCTCTAATCAAAATACTTTCGGTTATCTGTTGTCAAATCCATCTAACTAAATTCATTTCTTAACATATACGAAGGAAATATCACATTGTATATACGAGGTCTGTTCAAAAAGTATCGCGAATTTTAAATTTCCGCGGGTTACGTATATTCGATTTTCGATTTTCTTGTGGCGTTATGTTGGTACTCCTGTCCCTCACTTATGCCGACAAGTTCGGCCATTTTGAATATTCAGTTTATCTTTGACAGCTGTTTTGCTTGAACGTGTTTTGGCTCGTCTTCGATTTTTGCCTATTCCAAAAAATGGATCAAAGAATCTAACAAAATTAAGTGCGCGGACACATTCCGAATGTTGACTGTGGCATATGGTGAAGCTACCTTGGACCGAAGCAACGTTTATCGGTGGTACAAAATGTTCTCAGAGGGCCGAGAAGATGTGAACGACGAAGAGCGTGCCGGACGCCCGAGCACGTCAACAACAGACGAAAACATTGATGAAGTGAAGAAAATAGTATTGGCCAATCGTCGAATCACCGTTAGAGAAGTTGCTGAGGACCTAAACATATCGATTGGCTCGTGCCATTCGATTTTTACTAATGATTTGGGCATGAGACGGGTCGTCGCGAAATTCGTACCAACGCTCTTGCTCACACATCGTTGCTTGTGCGCGAATTTTTGGCCAAAAACAACACACTAATGATGCCGCAGCCACCGTATTCCCCAGACCTGGCCCCCTGTGACTTTTTCTTGTTCCCGAAACTGAAGAGGCACATGAAAGGACGACGCTACGCTACGATTGAGGAGATAAAGACGACATCGAAGGAGGAGCTGAACAAGATCACAAAAAATGATTTTTGAAGTGCTTCGAGGATTGGAAAAAACGTTGGAACAAGTGTATAATATCTGATGGGGATTACTTTGAAGGAGACAAAATAGATATTCATGAATAAATAATTAATTTTTGAAAAAACACAAAATTCGCGATACTTTTTGAACAGACCTCGTATAATCAATTATATTTCTACTTCTAGTTAATATTTGCCCATTAATCATTTCACTCGAACCAATTAAACATTAATTGACCACTAGCACTCTTTTCCTTCAGTGTAGAAAAACCGGTTCTCCTGACTATAATTTTTCACTATGATGATTATAGGTTACAAATATCAAATATCTTTCCCTCAGTGTTTAAAATGGGATTGAGAAAAGGAAAAAGAGAGAGAGAGATAATGATACTGTTACAATTACGAGTGCGGTTTGCGGACTGCCGATTTCGATCGTGGTTCTGAAAACGGTGGATATCCCGTCTATTGGATCACAGCCGAAGAAAGGACAGCTGTTACATAATTGCGTTAATTAGTTGCGTTGCCCTCGACCGTGCTCCGTTCCTTCCTTCAGCGAATTCTTGCACTCACCCGGCCGAGACGGCCGGGTCCGTAGGAATTCGCGACGTAACGCCTTATGTCCCGTCGTTAGGAATCGTAGGAGAAAGGGGGTCGAGGGGTGCGGTGTGGCAGGGAAGCTAGTGCATCGGCGAACACTTGGATGCACACCGGTGAGCGCCGTATGCGTTAATAATTCCCCCGTCTTCCTTTCGTTCCTCCACTTCGCTTTCGTGCTCGGCTATGTTTGAAGAAGGGAAAGACGAGGACTTTCGAGCTCTTCGAATATGTCTGCTCTCTTTCACTACTTCCTTCCGCTCGCATCGCACAAAGAGCCGAGTTTCCATATAATTCTTTTTTCTCACTTTTCGAGGACGTTCAATTTTTTGAGGATTTTCACACGTCTCGCGTAATGAATGACTTATCTCTCGCACGTTTCATTGTTTTTATGCGTCACTTTGCGCAGGCGCGTTTTGGCGTGTTTTGCAAGTGATTTTGATGGAAATAAGAAAATAGTATCGCAGCGGAATGAGAGTGCCAAATACGATTTTACTGGCACATCGCAGAAATGGCAGAATCATTTACCGACAGGCCGATGCACACGAGTGAGCGCGACGATCCGCGGAATACGAAATCGTTACGGAAACGGTAGCGCGTTATCTGACTTTACGTGTTGCACATTCTCGCGCGGCCGCAACAAAGTTAGTTAGCAGGATGTTCGACTTCTCGCCACGAACTTCGTTTACGTTCAGTTAATTATTAAAATTGAGAAAATGCGCTGACGTGCGTTTATTGCATGACTCAGTCCCATCAAGGAGAGATCAAATTATCTACTTGAAAAAATAATGCGGGCGCAGTCGCGCAAGTGGTTTTCTAAAATTAATAGCAGATAAATATTTACACAGTGCCTCTTGAAATTTATAATATTGTAAGACTAGAGTTGTGTGTATTAAGAGAATTGGTGTAGTGCGTAAGGCAGGCGATTCACGACTTAGAAGACTTGGGTTGTATATGCTTAAAAAAATTATAAACATATATTTGAGGCCAAAATTGACTATAAAATATAGTGAGATTATACAATTATTTTTTTCTCAGTATATTCATTGTTGATAGCTACGTGTCTAGATAAAATTTTACAAAAATTTTAAATCTTACCTGCGAGGAACACGTGAGTAAGGAACATAAATTACAGTTAATTATAAAATTGAAATTACTTGAAAATGGAAACGATTAACATTGCTAACGGTGTTTCGTTTCTCTGTCTTGATCCCTTTGTTCCTCGTATCCACATGATTATCTACTTTTAATATTTGTTGGATGAGTCATCAACATACATTCACACGTACGTTCGCGGCGTACCAGCCTTTTTCGCATTGTTATACATACACAGACAAATGTGAGAAAAGACAGTCGCGCATATATTGTTAAAGAATTTGTGCACGTGCGTGGGCGTGTCGCGTATGCGTGAACAGCTTGGAATTCAAATTGAACGCAGAAAGAACGTTCTTCGGGTACAACGACGTTTGGAAACCCGGCTCGGTCGTTAAAGACAATGAGAGTTGTATGAAAGTGAATTTTATGAGAAAGAGAGAGAGGGAAAAGAGAGAAAAAGAGAAAAATTTCCAAATTGAAATTTTGGCTTTATATAAATATTCAAATATAATTATATAAATATTAATAGTGGTAAATAAATTTCGGGCAAATGTTAGTATTAAATCGAATATAAAGAACACTTCCTGTTTTCATAATTTTGTTTTCGTTTTTATTTTCTTATTGGTGTTAGAAATCTCTTTTGATAAGATATATATTTTAAATAAGTGAATAAGAAGGAATTATATGAACAAAAATAGCAGTTGTATAAACACTAGTAGAAATTCAAATTTGAATTCGTCATAATAATAAAATTTTTTAATTTATTAATTAATTTAATTTTTTTTAATTTATGAAATATTTGTAATGTAAAATTATGAGTTTTTAGATTAAAAAAATATAATTTTTTTGATTTAAGATATTGTTATACAAGAAAGAGCAAGATATTTAGAGAAATTATATTTCATCATCTCTCCCAAATCCTGTACAAAGAGAGCGTAATTTTAATCCTAATCACTTCAACACCGATTTGCGAAAGATCGCATATATTGAACATATCGAACATATCAAATATTCAGACATGTAAAGTGCAATTTGTATGCGTGTATAGATTTAACATTACTTACGATTAAAATGTTATTATAAAGTTCATTTCTTACATGTATAATTCTTTATTACCTTCATTTGGAATACAAATTAATTTGTATATTCCTCCTCTTTTCCTCTCGCGTTACTAAAAATATGAATGCGTTGGAAAAAATCGATCGATTTTTCCAGAAAGGAAACAAATTTTCTTAAGATAAGGGTATAATAAAGGGCTATTCTTTTCAATGTATACTGCCATTCGATTTCCGTTGTAACCGATTACCACACAAGAGCAGTGGCTTGCAATCGTGACCATTTAATGAGCATCTAACGTTTTTTCGAAAAATGTGTGGTTACACACATGTGGTTATACAAAAGAGCGATTCATGAATTCCTACTTAATAAAAAACATTAATATGGGAGCAATTGATAGTATTGACGATTAACAGTTGTTATAATGTAATTAGAGTATGTCGTCACGATACAATAAAAAGAGCAACGCCATTATTTTGGAAATAAGCTAAACATTTGTGAAATATTGAATTCACGGCATTTTTGATAACTTCGGAAGCATTTTCCTCAATTTTGGACTTTATTTGGTCCATTCTTGCTTTCCACCTCCCGAACACAATGTTATTTATTATTTCCGCTATTCCATAGTTCTTTCTTTGGTCGCCCACGTAGGTAACGCTCTTGTCTACGCTCAATTTTACGGAGACATTTCTCACAATCAAATATTTTTCTGCGACTTCCGCAAATGTAGAAAGAAATTCATGATATTTATTATTCATGTGGATTATGGCTTTGACGTTTGAAAATATCCCACTCATTGGTTCTTTGTTTCTTCCTTCATCCCTAGTGTTTATGTCATAGACAGCAGACATTGTGATTATTGGAAAGAACGCTACAAATTTAATTTGTTCCAGTGTAGGAGAAACCCTGAAAAAGATGATTTTTGACTGGTTTTACGTACATCTGCGCACGATTCGCGATAAAATTTATGACATGGATCTTTTCGATCGAACAAGGTTTTCATTTCATTTGTCGTATGACCAATATTGTTGAATGTACTGAACGACTTTTGGATAAGGTATTTCTAAGGCGTGCAATAAGATTTCTACCGGGCATTTCAGAAATTCTCTATCTGACAATCGGTATGTCTGACAACTATGTAATATTCGCTTAACGCTCTAGTAAAAGTTGAATCTCGCGAATATCTAACTACGAGATCTGCTCTATTATATTTGCTGTGTAATGACTATACAACGGCTATATCGGAAAATTCTACATTTTAGCGAATTACCGGTAACGATCCAGCAACGAGATTAAAAAGTTTAATCTAGCCTGCACTAGCTGGCCGATAATTTTTGATTTTTGATTCAAGTCGACTAAATACATTTCTATTCTCGCGGTATCCATTAACTGATTGATCTGAAATTTTCATCTGCACGGGACAATTATTTCGGGCTATAAATATTGCGTTATCCTTGAATAATAAGTACTTACTCGATTTCACTTATTTTGTATTTTGTCAGACCGGTGATGCTTATTTCCGTAAACCTCTCCTTCTCATTAAAGAGATCGTTAGAGACCTCGAAAATATCCATTTTATAGGGCTCAAAAGACAGCAAATTATCATCCGAACAACCTTTTGCTAAGTGATGCCACACTGATTCTATGCTTTTCTTTACGCATGCGTTTAGAAACGGTGAGAAGGACCTACATATCCGTAGTTCCGGTTCTGAGCACATAATACAACGAGTTCCTAATTTATTTCTCACACATATGTCAAAGCAACTTTAATATATTTTTTATTTCCTTCGGAAAACACGTGATTCAATGACGAGACAAATCTACTATATGAAGATTGAGATCACATTTGAGATCACGTGCATTTCCCATAGAACAAGATTCTAATCGTGAGACAAAACGAAGATATAAATATTCACATTTGTTCGAGAAAACTATTTTGCGCGATAATTGCAAGGTTACTTACTTTTACTTAGAGGATTGTTGTAATGTTCCGAAGCTAAGCTGCTAGTTATAAAGAAGAACGCCAAAATGACACGCATTGTGGCCTATGAAGTGGTTCTTTGTTCAAGTAAAATTTAACGAAATGACGAAATGCCGGATGACTTTGATGCACGGTTCTCCAGCCGTTTCATTCCGATGATAAGCAAGCACTTCACGTTGTTTTCGCTTCCTTGTCTTCTTCTATATATAATATGCTTGCCCGACCGTGTCGGGTTTTATAGACCGAACAACTCGACCACGTGTCAGCACTACTATAGTCAACTACAGACGACTATAGCACTATTACTATGAGTTCCTAATTTATTTCTAGTAGTCTAGTAGTTCTTACGTGCTGACGTGTTGTTTAGCAGCAGATTAGTACACTGATCGAAACAATTCAAGACGGTTAAAAAACATTTTTTTCACTAATCTCTCCATCGTAGTTATTTCATTATTTATATCTATTTCTATACATTTTTTAATTTTTCGTACTTAAGATTATATAAAAGTCGTATTGTGATAAAATAATAATAGGTCATTAGATTGTTCTTAATTTCAGCTAGATAGAAGTAGTTCCGCGATGATAGAAGTAGTTCTAATTAAAAACGTATTAATGACTTTGAAATCTCGAAAAATATGACTTTGAGGAAAATATTTTTTTCCTTTGCCCCTTCCAAACGAATAACGTTTTATCTGATATATTTTCTTACCATTAAGAACAAGATATTTAAGGTGCTCAAGTTAGGTGGAACGGCCTGAATATCTATCATTAGGCTAAGTATTATATCTGATCACAAACTATTCGTTTGTCACCATCACATATAAACGTTGGCTTCAACACGAGTATATCCCTGTCGCGCGATACAAGTTTAGTAAATTATACTATTAACATGACATGTTATTCGACAAAAACGTATCCCATGTGTGGGAATTCAATCGATAGCTCTGCTTTAAATAAGAACATCTTTATTGCTATTCAATATTGCAGAAACAAACACAACGCGCGAGTAACAATTAGCGAGCGACAAAATGGCAACAACAGTGACTAAAAACGTATGTACAGTTTCGTTTGGGTCGTTTTTGACGTTCTCTCCCGATTTCCCCTTCCACGCAATACAGTGGGAATGATTAGCAACAATCATCAGACTCGCGAGAATCATTTGCACAATTTGTGTCGCTTGATATCGCTTTATAGCGTGTCATTACAACACCCACAAAGTTTGCCGTTCTTTCCGCCTCGAATCTAGAATTACGCAATTACGCCGTTGCGCAAATGCGGGCCTCCATTAATTAACTATCAGCCGGCCGCGTTTTCCCGCACTTTCTCGGTACCCACTTTGAATCCGCGACAAAGCATATGGTATTGATCGTGCCTTATTAAATACCTAGTATCGGGGCAAGATAGTTATGCTATTTCCTGCACCGTTACGGAATCAACGATCTTCGTCGATTTCGCGCGAGTTGCTCGAGAGACGCGAACGCTAAGAACGTCGAGGTTGTTCCCCGATTGTTGTTGGACGTATCGGTTCTCGGTCAATCGGCAATCTACGTGTGAAGTACGAGCGAAGAGTAAAAGTTCGAAGAAAAGTGTGTCAATATTAAACCCGACAGCGTTACAGTCACCGGTTACAAACGCGTGCAGCATGTAACACTTGCGGCCTTCGCAAGCGATACAATTCTATTTCCTCTCGAGGGCACCGCTACTGTCGTAGTAATAACGGTCCAGTCAGTTGGATGGAAATTGCGAGTCGAACGCTTAAGCAAAGAAGAAAACGGGCGCAGGGACGAGTTTGCTGAGTAAATCGCGATAATCACCGATCGCCGATAATACACTCGGTGAATACTGCTTGTGGCGCGTTTTACGTATCGACGCGGCATTCATTTTGCTCGCCGCTTCCTCTTTAGCGTTCCACCGAGATGTCGGTTCGAGTCTCAGCAGAATGGCCGGCCTGTCAGTTCAGGACGACGTTTTAGGCCGTTGCCCTAAGTAACGCACAATGACTGTCTCGTGCCTAGTCTTAAATTTAAAAAAATCATCCCGTTTGCTACCAATGACAAACCTTTGCGCAATAAAAAGAAAAGTGATATATAATAATTTTGGCATAGATTTAGAATATGGGTAAGATTTAGAATAGAACATCGTTTGAAAATTACAAGTCAGCCATTCTGTCAAGGTCCTGACTTAGTTCGAGATTATTCTGTGTCTGAAGTTCATTCTAATGATTTTAAGTTAAAAAGCCGTTCTGTTTGTGTGATTAATGACAAACCACTGTATAATTAAACGAAAATATAAGAAAATGATAATTTAGGTAGATCGAATATGCACGAGTCAGTCATTCTGCCGAGGCCCTGATTTCCGACTCTCTTAAGTGCGTGATTGCGTTCGCATGCGATTTCGCAAGTTCCAAATTTCGACTCGTTGACAGCAAGTGTTGCGCGCGCGCGCAACTGATTCTACCTTAGATCTATTTGCTATTAAAAATCTCACGTTGCAAATATGGGACCAGTTACATGTTACACACATGTCTGTACACACATCAATTCTAACTATTAATTCTAGTCTACAATTGGTCGATTATTCGACTCGTCGTTCACTAAAGTACCCGAATAGCAGTCCAGTAATTTTCGGCGACCGTTAAAGAAACCGTCCGAGAAAGAGCAGTCTCTTTTCCCTCCTCTCTCTCTTGCGCGCGAGAATCGAAACCATGTGTGGACAGTAGTTGTCATTATTGGCGAGGGATCGGTGAGAACGGAAGAAGTCGAAGTCCTGTGTGCGGACTTCGCACGAGATCCTCGGTTCCGTTTTCTTGTCGGATTGGCGTTTGTTACGATGTACGGGTGTATGAAGGCCTGATCGGTCCGGCGTCATCACGTTGTCATCTCCAAATATCGTTTGGCCTCTATGGATCCGTAGCTGTGCGAATAACGGCCACTGTATGATGCCCTAGACCACGCTCCGGCCCTGTTCGAATAGCTGTTGCACGCGAACAGGGAATTCATGCCGCCGGGTCTGTCGATCGGCACACCTTGGCCCCGTCCGCCATGACGCGAACTACCGCTCCTCGAGCGGCCACTGTCAGTCAATGGTGTCCTGGGATCCTCATCAGCGCCGACCTCGGTGTACGGCTTGGGCTTGCGGGAGCAGCTCAGATACAGCCCAGCTATCACGGCCTGCGGATCGCGCGATTAATTATTAACTCGTTGCCGTTATACACTTCAAGGGTTTCAATTATCTTAAAACACGACCGTTCAGGGTCGATTTATCAGAAAAGTCCGCTACTTTTTAGGTAAACCTATGTCGTTTACACAAGCACAAACCTTTGTTATCTAAGCTTGGTCTATTAACTTTAAAAGACAGGAGAATTCGAATGGTTTTATCCTTGTTTAAAATTCTGAGAGGTTAACGTTCACGCAACAACACGTCGCAATAATTCTGAACTCTCAATTTTACATTGAAAATATGCGGAAGGTGAGACGATCACGACGAAAAAATATGGTGTCCAAAGGGACACGCGATTTCAACGTGAACGAAACGTACCACTAGCATGTGAAGCAATATAATGAACATAGTGCCGTTTCTGAAGCCAATATTGTCCAGCAGAATTCCAGCGACGCTTGGACCGATGAAGGCTCCCAAGGCAAAAGTACTTGTCCACAATCCACTGACCAGACCATAAGTTTCGATATTGTTCGGGAAACCATATGATCTTGAGATATGAACGAAATTAGTAGAAAAAATATTTTCTATAAATATTTAATAAGATAAATGTCCCAATTAGTGACAATCTCATCCGTTTCTCTCAATAAATCAAATAACATAACTCCATATTTATCCTAAAAAATGTGTTTTTACTCTACTTATATTTTATATATTATCTGTTATAACAAGTATCAAATGAAATTAAAAGCCATAATGAATGCTGGAATATCATAATTATAAAAGTACTGCTAAGGGTGGCAGTTCGAACAGTTATTCGCCGACATCTTAGAAATTGGCAGCCAATATGAAGCATTTTTTTGCCACTTCTTTATAGCTATTTTTAACCTCAAGCGATTGAAATCGTACTGTCAAAGTCGTGGAAAGAGTAAGGAATATTTTTTAAGCAAAACAAGTAACAGTATTAAAATATTTATTCGTCTCTATCACTGACTACTTAAATAAATATAATATAAAATGATATAAACATTTCTATTTTTAAGGAAAAAAATGTGAATTATAAATCTTATTCCATAATAATAATTAATTAAAATTTTATCATAACTTTAACAAATTTCAATTAGAATCTTAAATGTTCAAACTTTTCGAACAAAATAAATTCTATTTACTTAACACGTGTATTATTAATTTATTAATTTATTTTTACGATGAGTTTATTTTGTCATTAATTGGAATATATTCACCTCATACAAAATACGTTTTAAAAATATACATCTTCTTTCTAAGAAATTGTGCAGAGATTGAAATTGTTGCATACTAAAGCCACTCTCTTATGCGACTTACACAGATGTCCTCAGGGCATCGGTGAAGCTGGCAACCAGTTGCGCTGCCATGCCTAAACCGTGTATCACAAGCCCGCAAATACTTATCCAGATTATAGTAGGTAATGGAATGAATGGTGCCGGGCCGATCAAAGAGAAACCGATCATCACCAGGATGCACCCAGCGACGGTTGCCACCTGAAGGACACCATATCTCTTTTATATCGACGTTCACGCAGGACGCGCTTGAAATCTCAATTAATTAAATCAATTGATTAAATCGAGACCACGGACAAGCGAGCTAAACATTCGCATTCGGTATAGTTTGGAATGTGTGACGTAATTCATTTTTACGAAATTACCTTAGGATGTGAATACTTGTCGCAAAGCCAACCCCACACTGGCGCGGCTAACGCGTACGTGCCGCCGTTAATGACGAACATCAACCCCAGCACAACTGGGCTCAAGTTGAATTGTCTCAAGTGCGGCTCTAAGGTCGCTTGTAGGAATCCGATGCTCACGCTCGTCGCGATTATTGACATGGATGCAATCAACACACCGGGGATTTTGAGAAGTTTTCCTACTCCTGCAAACCGTAATCGAACATAATGTCGTGACGCGATTAGAAAATGCAGTTTGTACTCGTGACCGTTTAAACATTAAAAACATTCGAATCGCGTACCTCCGGAGCTGTGGGCATCTTGTTCGCGGTCGTTATGAACTGGTAGAACGAATGCGGTCATGACAGCTGCCAGGAACAACGCCGATCCGAGTACCACGAACGGAGTCGTGTATCCACCGACCTAACGCATCCGTGTTTCAACAGGCGAAAGTAAATTTCTCTTCAGTTAATTGTTTTCAGTTATCTCAATCAAATGTTAAAGCACTTAAAAAGCCAAACCAATGCGATGACAAATATGGTTTCTTTCCGAGTCTTCCCCGAATCTAGTCTCTATTCAGTTACACAAACTTTTTTTTCCGTATATACAATGAGTAATACCTGATAGAGTGCACCACCCACGGTAGGACCTACGATAAGTCCCAAACCGAAGAAAGTTTCCAAGCTGGCGAATGTCGTAGCGACATTGTCAGGAAATTCCATAGCGATAATGGCGAAGCTAGCCGTCAAGAATGCGCCGTTTCCCATCGCCTCTACGATCCTTATTACGAAAGACAGAATTATGAAGGGATAGTGGCCGTTGACTTTATCTAATAGGCCGAAAAATATGGCGCATGTTGCCGTGGTCAAGATACCGCCGTTGAATAATATCTTCGGGCCGATTCGATTGAGCTGCGAACAATGCGATACATGCGATTTGTTATTAATTGAATTTTGCCGCAATAAATTTTAATTTCCGCTTACGAAAAGTACAAGGAACGATTTGGAGGAATATCCAAAGAATTTGAAGATCTTCAAGTTTTCTGACTTTTTTTCAAATTACTCTGTAGGTACAGAAAAAAAAGATTTCTTTTTCTTGGATTTAATAAAATTTCTTTAATTGAAACAAATTTGTTTTTCCACATAGTGAAAGATTTTCTGTTAAATTTAATACATTTTGTACGCGGTTCATTTTCCCAAACGATCCACATCAATTTTTGTATTAATTTAACACAACGTGAATATGTGGAAAAGTAACATAAATATTACATCAAAAATTAACACAAAATTACTATTCATATATATATATTTTTTTTTCGCGTTTTTAGATATGGAATATAAACAATTTTGTACGTAGCATATATGATATGTGATTTTCAATTTTGTAGATAAAATTTACGCGTAGCTTTTTTTGGATCGAAACGGTGATATATGCATTTTGTAGGATGCTCTAACCAATAATTTTTGCTGAATATTCTTAGGCATACTATCTTTATTTACGCAAAAGTATGATTGAGTTTTATCGAGATTCATAATAATCAGTGAGCCTGAAGAACGGCAGACATTGGCGTTTCATGCATTCCGTTCGATCGTCACGTAGGCTCACTCGCGGCTCGGAGCTCGTACACTTAAATATATGTAAAAATATATTTATCGTTATTTTCTCGCATATATTTTCTATAGAATTTTATTTTCGTGACGATAGCCATAATATTCGCGATATTTCTCTGCTCAAGATTGAATATTCATCTTTCCAGAGTTAGATAAGTTAATTTTCATTTAATTTTTTATTTATTTATTTTATATAAATATAAATAATTTTTTTTATTTTATATTGTATAAGATTTATAAGAAGCCCGCAGTATGATTTTAACATTGATGAATTATTTGAATTTACATAAAATAAGTTAATAAAGTTAATGCATTAAAAATTAACGAAGTTTAATTAAGAGTCATTAACTTTTTATCTTAACTTTTAATTGCGTAACCCACACAGATAGTCAAACCTGCTCAAATAGATTTCGAGCAGAATTTGCTACAAATTTTTTAATAGCAGAAATGCAACAAATCTAATACATGATCTGTTCTATCTGATTCCCAGTTGCCCCTGTTGCCAAGAAATGCGACAGAGCCTGCTGACAGGCAATCTGAGCATATTGGTGGCAGGAATCGAGCAGATCTTGCTACGCGCAATTTGACAGGCTCTGCGCAGTTTCTGCTGCCAATCTGTTCGGGTTGTCTGTCAGCAGGCTTCGTCGCCAAAGTACGAGCTGAATGCGGAAACAGATGATTACGATTTTGGCGTGACGTTCTAATCAAATTTGTTGCCAATCTGTGCGCAGTCTACGACCAATTTGCTTATTGAATAGTTATCACCCAACTCTGTTCATCAGGCGAAAGGGTTAACAAACGCTTACGATGATACACCAAAGATATTCGCGAGAAAGACAATTCACAATTTACGGACACAATTTTGTTTTAACATAATTGAATGAATTTCGTTTTGATAATACTTGACGCGCTTTCATTGTCCTTCATCGTGTGCGTTACATGTCACCTACCTGTTGTCCGTAGAGTGGGCTGATGATGAAGACCACCAACTCGAAGATTCCGAAGACTAGGCCATATTCTGACGGTGACGCGCCTTTCTTCTCCGCCTGCGGAAAAAGAGAAAAATCGTTCGTGGAAAACATAATGTGCGTGTCAATTCGCCGACGAAGCGGCGGCAGTAAGTCGCTTGAAATTGCTGACAATCCGTAGGCGCGCCGTGCTACGCAGCAACTCGGTCCATTATCTCGTCGCATTGCAATTAATACTCGTCGAGATAATATCCCGATAAACTTTGGACGTACGCGAGATTACAGGCCGAATTATTGAACGTCGTCGCTACATCGCATTCGGTCACGTCGTGAATAGATAGAAAATAATCATCGAGGCGCGAAGAGTGATAGGGAAAACTATGATACTGCTTTTCACCTCCAAGCGTTTCGGAGAGTGGAAAATTCAGCCTTGAAAATTAATTCAGTCGGTAATTATGGGTAATTTAGAACGGAACATTTGACCTCAGTGTTATGGTAATTAAAATAGCTTGAAAAAGCATCATTAAAAAAATAATACTTCGAGCAATTAATTAAAAAAAATATAATAAATATTTTATTTGAAATATTATTTGATGTCGTATCATATTATTTTTAATTATTTTTAACATTATTCTATACTATTATTTAATATAATGTTATATTATTATAAATATAACATTTAAATAATAGTTAATTAATTTTTGTCGTTTATTATTTTCTTCGTTCTCCGGGTAATAATAAAGTGAAGCTGGCGCTACACTTTATCTTTGCGAATCCGTACGAGAACTTTGAACTTGACTCTCTTGAGTTTGACTCTTGACTTTGACTTTCCTGAACTTGAATTTCATTCTGAAACATTAAACGTACGCATTTTCTTGGTATGATAATCGTACGAGCTACGTGAAAATTACGGTGCGAGTACATGAGCACTCTTGTTTCGTGAAACATTACGAAAGTCTCGAGAAGCGCGGAGGAATGCGCGAAGTTCATTCAATCTCTGATGGATGAACGTACGTGTTGCGGCGGAAATAAATTACGACTTGCGACTTGATATCTTGATTATGAAGAACCTCAGCGCTATTTATATTTTTTAAATTGTATATTAAATTTTCATCTTCATTTTTCTCGATACATATCTTATGTGGTTTGGATCTTTTTTGCATATCTACGGCGAAATTGTGCCGGTAGAAATTTCATGCACTTTTTAAACAGTTATTGGACAATTATGTTCACTTCTGCCAGTAACTGAGGAGCAAAACTATTTGGGATCCCAATTAAGATGTAACTCATTTCTTGCAGTTACTGCGCACAAAAAAGGCGCGAATCTGAACTTACTTATTAAACGGAAACAGAACGATAAATGGACAAAATCTACCGATTGATAAGCAAGCTTGCAAGTTGCTTATGAAATGGGCAGTTTTGCCCCAAAAGTACTCCTGAATAATACTCTATCAAGTTCTTATCCGTTTCTTACGCAGTACTGTCACAATTGATGAAAATGTATTAATGTTAGACAGTAACCGGGTGTCTAAGGATACTGTATACATTTGTATCACGATGTGGAAGCTAAGGTCGCGCGCGAAGAATCGATTCTAAATATCACGAATATCACAGTAGCGTTATTATTCATACGATGCTGAATGAGACAGAGAGCATCGCGTCTTCGTTCTGTTAAAACGACTCCGGTCGATTTTATCAGCGAGGGTTATTAATAATCGGGCACGCGTTAACGGCCTCCTCTATGCGTATTGTGAGGCGACGTTGAAGTTGGCGAATGAATGGCAGCCAGATAAAATCCCCATCAAAATAATAGGCATCGGAGATACGTTAGTAGTACCCGATGGTGTCAGTGCGAACTGACAAATATACACGTGGCTGACAGATTAATTTTATAGCTGCGTTGGTCGACAAGCAAGAAAGAATCGGACGGATAAGTGGCGCTTATCGCTTTGTTGAACATGTCGCCGCGCGGGACGCGAGTCGAAAGGCTGTTAATTGTTTATTCGACTCGCAGCTAGTGACATTAAACCGTTGAAGATAACTTGCCAATTTTACGGTGAATGTGTATATTTTTCTCCTCCCTTTTCTTCGAGCATGCGCGATGCTTCGCGTTACCTGGCAATTTTTTTACATTTAAAACTTAAAATCGATGCCGCTTACGTCTCACATGGAACATTAAACGTCATTTCAGGAAATTTTCAACAGGAAACGGAACTCATATGAATCCGTATAGGATATTAAAAATCTATATGAAAATTCACATGGTGCGTGAAAATCTATATAGGAATCCACGTGAATTGTTACCTAGAACCTGGGTTTTTGGCGCAAATCCCCGGGTGCAACCGGGGATTCCATATGGATTTCCTATATGGATTCCCATCTGGTTCTTTTTCATTAGTGTTATCAATATAATTCGACAATTGTTCTCGATCAGCAACGAAGATTCTGTTCACGGGTTCTCGGCGAATGTTGAAGCAACGAATCTCCCTCTCACCCGTATCGTCTCGCAGCGATTACTACGTAATGAATTGCGCGCGTGACACAACAGTAATCCGTTTTACATGTATCTACAAGAGTTTCATCATGCGTGGCACTTTTTTCTTTTTGATACCGCGGACTGAATAATATCGCGTCGATTTTGCGCGATGAACCACGAAAAGGTCCGCCATTCATGTTGTCTCGTTTACACACAGAAAAATATATATCTGTTCAAATAAGTATTATTTGTTTCAAGTATTTCACAAGCTTATATGTCCGTAAATATATCATAAGTTTAGTCAAAAGTATCGAATTTGTTCAAAATATATTCTGAATTCTAGTAAATTTAGTACAATTAAGAATATTAAATCCAAAGAAATTTCGATTTGTTTATTCAAATTCAAACCGAATTTAACTTCTTCCGATAAAGTTTACAATACTCAATCAAATTTATGTTATAAATTAATTATATCTTTTTTATTTATGTTGTATTTTAGTTATATCATTTAAATTAAATCGTAAAAAGGACAAATAAGAATTTTGTTGATTCTATACGGTTGTTTTAGCGCTATAAAACTAAAGTAAGCAATATTCAACATCGATAAATATATCATTGGAAAAGTTATTCAGTTCAGACGTTTCGGTCCTCAGAGAGCTGGAGCCTTATCAGTGGGCACAAATAATCTTACACAATGTCAGAAAGTCAATCGCAAGCAACATCTATTATTATGTTACCAATGCCAGAACACAAGTTAACTGTTCGGACGCAAATCGCTAATCTAGCAACATATCCAAGCAAAGTTCAAATAAACAGGTGAATATTATAGATGGAAATATAAGTAACGTCTGGACTGAATAAACTTTCAAATAATATATTTATCGATTTGAAAATTGCTGTTTAATTTTATAACCGTATCTAGAATCTTATTTGCCCTTTTTATGAATAAATTGCATAGACCCCTTGTTTTAATGAACAGTTCGTGGAGCAGATAGGTTTTATATGTTGCAATATATCATCGAATACCACTGTATGAGTAGTGTGTGTTGAGACATATCTAGAAAATTATATTTAGATATAAAATAAGAGTAATATAATATCTACGTCCGGATGATTATAGGTATCACTTCATAGGTATACGGTTCACTTAATATCTAATCTAAGGAAATAATCAATCGTTTATCTAACATTTAAGACAAAATGTATTTAAAACAAAATTCTGTATGTAATAAGATACTTATTATCAAGAATTGGAAATCCATAATGTCGAAATCCAGTTACCATAATATACGAAGCACACTCGGAATCATGTATGTCAGACGTATTATGGGCCATGACTAGAGTTGTTATATTTTTAAATTCGGACATCTTGAATGATGAAGAACAATGTAATATTAATGTTTCATCCGTTTCAATTAAGTTATCATAAACTTTTTTCATTGTTGTATTATTTTGTTCTCTATCAAATAAAGAGACCAAATTTTCTTGTATNAGACCAAATTTTCTTGTATATTTAATTTTATGTAATTAAAAGCAAATTACCAAAATATTTTATACGACAATTCGTGAATTGCATTTTCTACATATACGTATTCTTAACTTTTAATTTATTAAATTGAATACTTTCATTTTCTCAAGGATGCAAATAATTTTAATATTTGTTATTAACATAAAAATATGTTAAAAGGAAAGAAAGGAAATACGAAATTGGTACGATTTCTAAGCATCATTGAAGTATATTTTTCTACATTCTTTTTTTTCTTAAACAATTTAAGTACATTAATAGCACATTGTTGCATTCCTGTTTTACAAAAATAAAGAAAATAAAGAAAAATAAAAACAAAAATTTGTCGTTGTTTAGATAAGGTTAACATATCTAGATAATGTAAACATATATTGACATATCTGAGGCTAATCTTGTATCTAAAATATAAACAATTTGTAGCTAAAATTTGTATGCTTGAAAATAAAAATACACTCAACAAATGTCGGTTGTTATGTATTTACATATTAGCGTCGTTGCTTAATAACGGGATACTAAACAAATGATTCCGTAAGTAATCGGTAGGATATGTTATAACGGAGATATTAAGGGTCGCCGTAATATCTACAAGGGCTATGATACTATCCTCCTCTATCTATATTTGTGTATGTATCTAAAGAAAATATAAGTTTACTTTCTGATTTATCTGTTTATCCAGGTAAGTAGTTATAATTGTATCTAATCTGATTTAAACATGAGAACAGTTTATATCTTTCCCAGCTCCACTGGTCGCGAGTACACGCGGAGAATTCGTTTCGAAAGTATACAAATTCATGAAACCGAGTGTACAATAGTAGTTTCGAATTGTATACCTCACTCTGAAGAAGTAAGCTAACTAGTCCTTACCTCCTGAGGATAGAACGGCGCTTGCAGCGACACGCAGATGGCGTTCATGAAGTCGGCGATGCTGATGACGATGAGGGTGAGCCATTGTCTCCTGGTGAATTTAATGACCATTCTGTCGGGTCCGTTTCGTGCGTTCTCACACTTCCCCGCGCTCGCGCGGATGCGATTGTCGCGAGACGCGGACGAGATCGCACCGTCTCGAAACGAGACTTTTTATTCGACTGGCGGAGCGGATCGACGATCGAGGAATCGAGGAGTTTTCCTACGACATCGAGCGCGATTCGACTGACTTGCTGACTGACTGGCCGACTGATGAAGTGATCATTCGGGGTGAATAATACGCACGATTCTACACCGCACACACTTTCGTTAGGTCGCGTATCGCCTTGTCTCGCCTTGTCGCTTTTCGTGACGCTTTAGTTTCGAGCGTTCCCGTCCGCTCTGTGCGTGTATTGCGCGTGGCGGAAGGTCGTTGCACACTACGCGACGCCGATCACATTTAAGGTTGAAAGAGCCGAGAAAAGAGGGTCGGAGGTCGACAGATATGTCCTACCACACTTCTAATTCATTATCAGCCGTCGCTGACCCCCCCCCCCCCCCCTCCCGACAACTCGGTCTTTCTCTTTCGCGAGCGCGACGTTGAATCTTTTCTCGCATCGTTACACGACTTTTCGGCCCAATTTAGCGACCTGCGAGCGTTCGTAGCCCGCGAAAGAAAATCCGCGTTTTCCGTCCTGCGAGTTGCTCGTCGATCGCACTCGTCGTGAAAATCGTGTCCCTGCGATAGATACGTACTCGTTATTTGTAAAAATGGTCGAGCTTTCAGCAGCGATGATTGATGCGCTCTGTGCGACCTCATTTATATTGCTCTTTTGTGATTAAAGACGTCTCTTAGTTACGATGTGCGTTAAATAGAGCGGAGCCTTTTTTGTTTTTAAAAGAACGCGTATGCTATTTTAATTACGGACTTTGACCACTTTAACTAATTTCTGTCTACGAACGAAAACGTCGACGAAAATTACCAAATCAAGGTCATATTGAACTGAGCGCGAATCTTTCAACGCTATAAAGCGAGATTTAAATATTCATTGGAATCAAGATACAAATTAAATTCAAATTTCTTTACATTATCGCAGACACCCAGACGTTACGGTTTTTGTCCGAACTTTCTTCAATAATGGAACAATAATAGTACAGTAAACGGAGAAGTAACATGGAAAACACGTGTGGTCTTCGAAAGTGTGATGCTTTGCTTTTTCGTTTATACGCAATTTGTTGTTTGATCTATTAACTTGTTTTCCACGTTACTTCTTTGTGTATTGCATTATTATTGTTCCATTGAAGAGGGGCAAGGACCGAAATATTTGAAGGTATCTCGGAAATTATATAGATATATATAATATATAAATATATAATAAAGAATATAAATATAATATAAATGAAGGTTTGACTTTTTGATTTAAATTTTAATACTCACGATGGTTATTATTATCTCGCTTTATAGCACTAAAATGTCTATGCTTAACTTAATGTGGCCATGATTTGGTAATTTTCATCATTTCAATGAGCTTATTTGTTAAATAAAAATATCGACATCAATGCGACATTATAATCGTTGTTGGTTTATGTTCTTTTATTTCGAGGTAGACTTATTCTCATCGGCTTCGTCAGAGAGCAATTTAAATGCGATATAATTATTGACGGCTACTTTTCTATTAAATATATTTTATACATACAACTTTATGTAATTATTTATACGAGACACACATATGTGCATCCGATTATAAATCGAGATACAATAACTTGATAATCATATACACTAATCATATAATTAATATAATTATAATACAAATACGAATATCCCAGTATCGAATAATATCGAATTAATCATTTTGCCGATTAGAAGAAACGAAGAATAAAGTTTGAAAATGTTGCAATTGCGAACGTTGCAGCAATTCGAAAAGTATTCTTCACTGTCTCGATTCAGGATTTGTTCTTCCAAATCGATCGAGATTAATTTAACAAGCATTATTTACTTCGCTAATATAAAATAAAGAGCCCATCGAGAAAATAATGAACTTAGTCTTTTGAAACGTTATGCGTTGATATTGATTCTAAGATGCCTTGTGTAGAATCTTAGTTAACTTAGTCATGTCACTCGCTCAGCGTCATATATCTCAATTAAAAAGAAATGAATTCTTACACCTTACGATAATTTGTATCTTTGTATTTTTTGTCGCAACCATGAAACGTGTCTTCTTGCATTTTGATGAGAAACAATGTGCAATGATGAATTTGTGTGCACGTGGATCGTATGAACTTGTACTATACATTATCGAAGGTTCTCCTTCGCAAGCTATTACGTATCATGCATCCAGACTTTCAGCGGTATTTTACTGAAAGCGATGTTTAGGAAATCCTTGAAGTGTTTGCCTATACTCGCGCTGGCCGCCGGTTTGAGCTCTTCGACGATTTCATGGGCGTTCTGATTCAGGAATTGATTCATCGCCTGCCCGATAACGTTGTCGCCGTTCAGATGGTCCGTCACGCGGAATCGGATTCGCCCGAGTTTGAAGTCGATCAGTAGTTTCCCGATCGTTAGGTAACGAACACCGTCTTTCACTTCCTCAACACCCTGCACACGCGCGATCGCCGCTACGTCACCTGCAAAATGACGAATTGTAACTATGCGAATTGAGGAACTAAGAAGAAGAAGAAGAAGAGAGAGAGAGAGAAAGAGAGAGAGAGCGCGAACTGATGCGTCCTTCTCCTTTTAAAAATGGTTAATTATATAATTAATATGAAAAATAACTTAACTGTAAACCCTTCCTTATAAAGACACTTACCCAATAACGCCCAAAATTGGCCGTGACTCTGAATGGGGAAGAGCAATATGTTTCCGTTGATGTCGTAGTTACCCTGAAGCTCGATCTTCGGGAACGATATGTGGATGTCAATTCTGTACGAAGCCATGTTTATGCGTATTTTACTGATACTGAAGTTTCCTGGCCCTATCGCGGTGATGTTGGTGAAGATCGCGCGGACGCGCACCGGGCCCTGACCGTTTTCGATTTTCATTTCAGGAATCACCAGAGGCTCGATCGGGGGCAGTTCCAGTTCCGGGATACCTACGCGGTGGGTAATTTATTTTAGAAAAATACTTCGGATTGTTAGCCATTGGCTGTCGATCGTCGATCGTTAATTAGCCGTTAAAAATAATAGCGATTCAACAGTATACATACGTAAAAAGACATTTTGTATTCGTATTAATATTGGTCCTTATTAACATTTTTGTGCAAAATTTTTGCATCCGTGTGTTAATTTAACTTATTGCGTTTACGTTATCTTAATATTTTGCGTTGAGTTGATATTTAACATGTGTAAATGTTATAACACATTTTATGCTTCAGTGATGATTAATATATTATGGATATTAATTTTTTGTTAATTTTTGACATAATATTTATATTATTTTTCAACATATTCACCTTGTTAAATTAACGTAAAGATTTGTGTAGACCGTTTGGGACATGTGAAATGTATTAAATTTAACAAAATATTTCACTGTACATGACCAACTCGAAAACTCGTGAAAAGTTACACCGCTGAACATCAATTTTGCTTTCTTCGACTTATTTAATTATCGTTTCGTCAATTATTACCGAACGGATGATTATCTCGACTTTCATTTGTGTGATAGTTAATATGAATTAGTCTTGATTTGTTTTCGCTAAATTACCATGCGTTACATCGAGACGATATTTTGCAACAACATTAGCGCACATAATTATGCCGCAACACTCATCGGCGAAGCCTCCCGGATTCCGACTCGCCTGTTATATAAAACGCTCACTGTAAAAGTCTAAAGTCGTCAGTCGTGCCGATTTTTGTGATATTTACGGACTTACGGATGAAAGTTTATAGTAAGAACATTTATTCTTACGACATGAGAAATATGTTTTATGTAACGCACCCGCGCACAATCGATGCTTACGGTTTACTTTTTACGGGTTTACCTCGTCGTTGATTGATGTTGGCGCTGCATTAATTGACGTTACGTAAATTTCATCGCGAATAGTCAAAACTAGATTTCGATGGAACGGGCACAGCATAGCGTGCGAATCGGCAATTTCGACAACTCGGTTACGTGTCGCCTAATGATTTCTCGCGTTCTTTTTGCTGTCAACGCGGTCACTTTGCAAAGCATCTTGCAAAAAGCAGTCTTGCTATGCTGATAGACAAAATCTCAGAAATAAAACATATTTATTCGTTGAGTAGTAATATTTACTTATACCAAGATACATATTCTTACACTGAGAAAAATATTTTTCAAATATGAGAAAATATATATTTTCTTAAATCTGTAGCTTTACTTGAAAACAATTATTTATTTTATATTTAAATAAAGAAAGTTTAATCCAAACGGGAACCGAAATGTTTGGATTTATGATTAAATATTGTAACAAAATTTCAATATACTGAGACGTTATTTTAATAATATTTCGTAATATTGTACTACAATAGTCGTACATTGGCTCTTATCAACCCTTTTCATTTCCTGACTTTTGATTGAATATCTATAAAAGAATTTAGGTTAATGCATTTAAGTAAATATATTATTAATGCCCCGAATAAATTTTTTTCTTTTTCAGATATTTTTCTCTCAGTACAGGCACCTTCAAATCGGTCAACTTAATAACTCAACGAAGCGATAAATCGAACACGAAAAGGAAATATGGAGATACGTGCGTTGTGGGATAAAAGGCCTAAAAAAATAATCTGTGTTTCTTAACAATAACATTTCCGCGGCGCGTCCGCTAAATAAAACAACTTCGAGTCGAGTCTTTCGTTAAATAAGAAGACATTTCGTGGCAAACATCGGAAATTAAATTCGCTCGTGCTTGAGAATAACATTTTCACGATTATACCATTTGATATTTCTCTTTCCTTATAACTTGTCCAACTTGCATTTAATCTTTTTCTTCCCTTGCAATTTGCACGATGACTCTTGAAAGCTCCATTAATCTTCGAGTGTCGTCAACGATACGAGTGCCAGAATGACGCAATCGTGTCACTCGCTACACCCCGTCACCTCGACGATCCGAAACGATTTTGTGCACGACGCGTGCGAAAACATACACTCACCTTTCACCAGGTACGGCCTGAGGTGAATGAGTGTATTTTGAAAGCACGAGTCGATCTTCGGATCTTTCCGGCTGCATGGTACTATGTACTCGGCTGCAAAAAGAAAAAAAGGAAATGTCGACTTAACAGGGACGATCAATGTGTTACGCAATACGGGAATTATGTAATTAATAATACCTGTGCGGTAATAATAACAACAATAACAATACAGAGACACACACATACGTGATACACGGACAACGCGTATTTTGTAACAAGCCAACTAGTCGGAGCGGTTTTATGGTTAACGCGCGTGCTTTCAGTGCTGGTATCATTAATCTTGCTTAACTTCTAGAAACGCACACCGTTTCTGTATACGTAATTCGTTCATCTCGGTTATGCGCGTACGTGTGCATCATCATTTAAGGTTTGCCCGAGTACTAGCAATACTCTTCGTATACGTGATCTGATATTTGAAAATAGACTCGATTTTACGCCCGCAACTTTTTCGATTAGTGGCAACCTTTCGATGCTCCTTCGAACGCAAGAAAAATAGAGATAGGGCATACTTTACATATTTATGCGGTCACACCTCTCACGGTTATGTAACTGATAATTACTGTGTTTTCCTGCGTTACATGTTAATTTCTTTTTTCATGAAGGAATACGTATAAAAAATGCCAACTTTAGTTGCAAATATCTCAGTTTTCGAACGGTCATTTTCTAATTGCACGTGCAGTTAGATAATATTTTTATGTGCGTGTAACGCAAATTTCATATTCGTAACGCAAAATTTATAACAAGCTCGTTCCAAACGTTGCGTTAAATTAATAAAAAAATTTGAATAGGCTGTTTGGCATGTGTGAAATTGATTAAATTTAATATAACGTTTTTTTTTTACCATGCATACACTACTACGCCAGCACAGTGTGGAAATTGTTATTAAGCGATACCATCGTTGATTATTATCTCGAACAAGTTCGTTCGTTGTTCGCTCATCTGATCATCACGAAGGATGATTATTGTCGGGTGGCGCTCGTTGCCGACACGAGAGCGTTTTCGGTCAACGTCGTTCTGTTTTGCCGCGAGCTTCGTGATATCGTATTAATGAGTGACTTATCGCAATGGAAATCAGAATCACTTAACGTAGGATCGTATGTGTACGTCAGCTCATCAACGAATCGCTCTGCCACGTCTTCCTACTTCCTGTGTCTTTTATGCAACGACTCTCACTTCCACTAACCTCGAGAGAGGATTGTGAACAGTCGATCGATGCCACTTTGAGAGATTAGGTCTCGAATCGGTCGGAAAAGAGATCGTTACGTCACGAAAAGAAAAGCCACCAGAACGTTCGTTCGCTATAAAGAAACCCAATTCCCAATTCCTAAAACCTGTTCTAAGTAACAGATTTAATCGTTCTGCTTTGTACTTCTTTCGACGACGTGACTTTAATTCTATTTTTCTCATACGCGAATTGATAATTCATCTTTTGCCCTCGGCGTCTTCTCTCAAGATCTCTTTCGCGCCTCTCTTTCGAGGCGCTTATGTAATATAAATATTACGCGTCTCTCTATTCACGCTTCTCTCTTCTTGAAGAAGCACATAAATTTCGAGGTACTCTCGACTTTCGCGACTTAACGCTCTTCTCAGTCATGAAACTGACCGTCGTCAAGGACGCGGCGATTAAGGCGACAGACCTTGTATATGCGCCAGACGTGTGACGTTCCTAAAGTATAATAGATTTAAGTCCCAGTAATATAAATATACATGAAATTATTTTCCGCGTTCACAATTGCTCGGCATGCGATCGATTACGTTTGATGCGAGTCTACCGCATAATTAACAATAAGAAAAGATGATAAGTCATAAGGTGATATAAAAACTTGTTAATTACCTGTATCCTACACGTGTTCCATACACATATGACTTAATGAAGGCATAGTATTATCATTCACATATGCCAAGCGAGAAGAAGATAAACAATATTATTAGTTTCACGCTTATTTTCCATTAGCATATTTTTTCCCGAATACTACACAGAAGAAATATCAATATCAGTTCAAGACTCATATTCTCATATATAAGCGGGAATATATAATCTTATAAGAAAATAAAACTTATATGTATATGTATATATATATATATATATATATATATATATATATATAAAGGAAAATATATAAAGGAAATTCTATATGTTTCCGTTAAAAATATCATTCTTGTTATTTTTCTCATAGAAATTTATCACCACTAAGCTAGCAATCAATTACTTTTTTGAATATTTAAAACACTGTTGTGAGTAATTCGCAATGATTAAATTATAGAGCAGTGATTGATTGCAGTGATTAAATCTTATCATTAATATGAATATTTAAATACTAATGCTTAATAGCGCAGTAGTGATGAAATATATCCTTACAGAAATTTAATACTGAGAATACTGAGAATTTGCAGTGATTTGCAATAAAATATTGAGAAAGCAGTAGAAATATAGTAGATAGTAAGCATATATCAAGCAAGTTTTCCGGTATCAGAAGATCTAGGATGACTGTTAATTAGATAACCCAAATTCAATATTGCCCTGAGTCTGTATTTTTCTCGTTTATCTTTTTTCTTTTTTTTTACTTTTATTTTATTATTGATATAAAAAAATAACATACCATCTTTTGATCTACATATATAATTGAAAATATACTAATGATTAAATATTAGCCAAATAATTATTGAAATACTAGTAGTATATATATACAAGGATAAAATACTAGTATTTAATCATTGTAAATTCCTTAGTAATTCTCAATATTAAATTTCCGTACGGATTTAGAATAATTTTCATTAATTGATAGGAAAAGATATTAGATGTGGAAAGAATGATATCTTCTTTTAAAGGGGTTATATACAGAATTTCTTTGTATATAAACACAATATTTTATTTTCATATAAAATTATATGTTCTTGTTTGTATATGAAAATATATATTTTGAGTAAATTGATATTAATTTTTTTGTGTCATGCCGATTATGATATTTTTGGATATTTGAATTATTAATGCTGATATTTCGAGATGATTATTCTTGACCTTTTCCAACTTGACAAAGGCCTGTATCGAACAGAGAAAAAGAGAGGGAGAGAGGGAGAGAGAAAGAGAAAGAGCGCATCAGTTGCCACGTATCAGCGTTACGTCGTAACTTGAAAGAATCTGGACCATCTGATGCATCACCGGCGTGGCTATTACGTCGTCACTTTCACTCAAGACCGCTTGATTGCGCGCGAAAACGAACGTGCTCGTGACGAGAGACAAAAGTGACATAAATTCCGGGGATGCAGGGGGACATTTCTCCTGCGATTCTTCGAATCCTTACCTTTCCGAGAGCCTCGAGAAATCGTATTGTTACCTAAGAGAACGTCGTCTAAAATTTTCCCCTTGCAAACACTCGGTCAGTCTCGACCACCTAAGAAATGAATATGCTTAACAGAGAAGATTCTGAAGAAAGGTACGTTTCGTGACTGAAGATACATATTAAGGTACTAGAATCCCGATTAACTCGTTTATGTCGAAAGATATACCCTTCTTCCGTTTCTAAGAGATGAGGAGGAGGCAGGTTTCAATTCGAAATTTGCGTTCTCTCGCGCCTGCTCTCTGATCGCTAGCTCAAGTCGGCTGGTCATCTTCAAAGGATACGCTATGCACGTCCTCTATACATATAACAGAGAATCGGCGCGTTTACGTGTGTCGTTGTAACACCAGCTTTAACCTGGTACTTTCTCCGGACGATTGCTGCCGATCCTCGCCACCGGCAATTACGCAATCTCTGACATAACCTTCGCCACACCGTCGAGAAACGTTACGCCATGGTTCGAGACATTATATCGGAGAGGACCAAATGTGCATGTCGTCCGATCGACAACGGTTCGTCTCACGTTCAGGTATGCGAATTATTCCACCAGCTACCTGACTACTCTATTGATGTCGTCATCGTGTCGGCAAAATGTTAGATAAGAAATAAGTGCATCATCGATGATAAAAATAACGTGTATAATGTATATATATATAAATAAATATCTCAGATATGATAATTTCGATAACGAACTCGAGATAAACAAATGAATTGTTGCGTAATAAACGAAACTATTAGAATATCTGACTGCATTTGCATGCGAAGAATGAACATTTTTTTTCTAATTTGATTTGTCAGTCGTGTGTCAATACACACAAGATAATTACGTAATAAACAAAACTATTAGAATGTCCGACTTCGTTTGCATGCGAGGTATAAACATGTTTTCCTAATTTGATTTGTAGCTCGTGCGTAAATACGTACAATTATGTAGATTGATGCGCAATAATATTTCCAACTTGATAGTCTCTCTCACTGATAGACAAATATAATTAAAACATTTCTATACGACAGAGAACGAGTGAAGTAACGAAATGTCGGGGAACCGAGTAACTTTCTAGCGCTCAAGTCAAATTCTCGATTCGCGGAAGTGAGAGACTTACAGATATCAGTCGGCAAGATTTTTCGAAAAATGTCGCCGGAGAAAGAGTGAATTCGCGCGATCGACAGAGTCGCCGTGGCGGAAAGCGCAGGTGCAATCGAGACTACAAGCTTCCGTCACGCAATTACGGGCCTTACGTTCATTGTTTGTGTTTCTTCGAGCTATGACGAAAGAGAAAGGCAGATACGCTCGAGATATTCGGCGAATGAAAACCGCGAATGAAAATGCGAGGTGAGATTACACCCGCACGTAATCATTTCCTATTATCTTCTGCTCGCGTTACCAACGTGTCTACACGACGTTTGATGGGAAAGAGAAAGAAAGAAGCACAGATAATGTGACGAAAAATAGAAATAAATTGCGAAAACCGGCAAGCAGATTTTAAAGAGCATCGATAAGTTATATCATTCGCGAGAATTGCCAAAACGGGATCAACCTCGCTCGCAATGCGCGAAAAGAAATAGAATGTGTCAATTGTTGCGCAATTTCCTGTTTGGATTTTAACAACGTTCGTTGAACAAATCCCGAAAGCCGTGAATCCAATCCGAGATCGAAAAATACAAATTGTTTCAAATATAATATAGTGTGTATAATAAATAATATTATATTGTTTTATATACATTATGTTATCTGTATATAGTTTTGAAGGCTTGGAAAAAGCCGTTTCTTCCCATTTTTCCATGAATTTTTTTAATCTCTTTCCTAAGAATAGAAAAATTTCCACGGGTAGAAAATTAAAAAATGTCCTTTAAAGGTAATATGTTACTGCTTAACATGTAACATATTAACTTCATTTAACTTCAGTTAAGTGTACGCAATTATCTTCTTTACGGAAAGAAATAAATGTGGCAGTTCTAACCGAGCACACGTAAATTTTACTAAACGAATTTTTCTATCCTTGGGAAAGAAACCAAAAAAATTCGCGGAAAATGCAAAAAATCCAGTTTTTTAAATATATTTTTTTTATAATATTATCATATTAAATAATATACCCTCTGCACATAATTAGGTTTCTACTTGCCTCAACTTGTATAATAAAATAATAAAAGTTAAATCACATTGCTAATATTAGACGAATATTCTTTGCGTTACTTTTAAAAAGACGAGATAAACAAATGTTTTAATATTTAATGACCGGCACTCTCGGAAAGTGCCGTGGCGTCGTCTTTAAAAACCATCACGCGGCTCTCAGTCATATCGACTGCGATCTTCGGCATGCGCGTGGCCGACTGTTGAATATTTTCGCTGCGATAGCAGCTTGAGTGACTAACAAACGCACACATTGCATAGTAATCGGCCGCCAATCCGACGCTTCGATTTTTAACGACTTCGTCGAGAACTCGAACAATCATTTCGACCTCGCCGGGAAACGTCTCGGGAAATTTCACGCGAAACTCACGAGTGGCGAAGTCCGGCTCGTTCAGCACGCTGCTAGGCTGCGTAGCATTTTGTTCCTCTTCGCAGGACATCAAAACGACAGAACAGAACCCCAGCAGCAGGACGAAAGCTACTCTCGCGCGTGTCATCTTTGGTAACACTTGGTTCTCTCGAGAAACGCGACACGCTCACTTCCTTCTTTTTCCGATCGCGTCTGAAAAAAAAAAGAAATACGAACAGATCCTCCCTAGGAATCGCGCTGCGTGCTCGTTATTTCTCGCAGGGAAGGACGAAACTTACAAAATGACACCCGTGTGCGTACTTGCGTTAAATGGTTCGCAGACCGGCGGCTTTTCTGCTACGAGGATCCGTGACGTGCAAAGAACATAATGGCGATACGTGTCTCGATATCGACGGGATTCAACAATGGCGCGATCGTTGATGTGTACGGGGGATAAGTGCAGGAAAGGTACACGACTGGATGGCTACTTTGTGATAAACTAAAGACCGGACCCCTTCATATTCTGTCTTATATGCGGGATTTCCCCTACTCCAAAAGCGCCACCACTGCCGGCTGGCTTTAAAGAACCGCCGCGACAGTCTCTTTTTCCTTCGCATCTACCGTGAAATGCATGCCTGCTACTCGATATTGTACGCATGAAAAATTTACACACATACAATCATGACGTCAATGAGCAATATTGACGCAAAATATGTCGATGCTAATCGAGGACAATATCGGCAAGGAAATATTCATATGTTTACGAAAGGAGATGAATATTAATTCAAAACTTATATTCTTATGTGTACAGAATATCTGACGCGTCCGGCAGCCGTCACATACGTAAGTAGAAAAGTTTCTAGAAGGAGGGAAAACACCATTATTTTTGGGCAAAATCTAATTTATTTTTCAACATAGTTTCCTTTAAAGTCGATACATTTAGTCCAATGCTTTTCACGACCTTTCATTCCCTCGGTAAAGATTTGTCTAAATTCTCGAAATATCTACAGCCAGGATGATTTAAGTATTTGTGAGATCGTTATCTTTATTACCTTGCGTAAAGTCATTTAATTGGCTCACATTTTCAGGAAAATCGTATTTCACAATTGCTTTAATGTGAACATCATTACAAAGTAACAAAAAAGATCAAAAGAACAAGGAAGAACGTTGCGCAATCATTTTTTTAAATTTTAATGGATTTAATGAATTTATAAAAAAATCGCGAAAAAATGATCTATTTACCAGAGAAAATGCAATGTCAGAAATACACTGTATACAGGATGTCCCATTTTAAATGACGCCCATAAATATCTTATATATATATTTTATATAAATATCTTATATAATTAATATAGTTGAGCCAATAGTTGTGCCAGAAGTGCACACATAATAGAAAGTATATATAAATATTTAAATATGTTTATATATGTACCATAAAACGGTGGAGACTATGGTGCAGCTTTCACATGTTCTCACTAATAACTTCGTTATGTATGAAAATATGATTTTGGTTCTCATGCATGACGGAAGTTACATTGTTCAGTTTTAAATTGATTTATATATTTTGAAATTTAATTTACATCAGGAAGCGAAGAAAAATTTTTTTATTGCATCAATCTCACCCCGTGAGTGGAATATACAATATCTTCTTTTCCTTATGATTTTGTATCTTTTCTGACTTTTATACCAATTCCATCCATTCAGTTCGCTGTTTATACTTACTCTCACTACTCACATACTTGCGTAATAATTGCTTCTAATAGGAGTCGAAATGATAACATATGAGACATCCGATGTTGCAACTGCAACGGAAGACTCAAGAACAGCGTATGTATTTTTATTATACTTTTATCTACTATGTAAGAGTATAATAAAAAGGGCTAATACTTATATCGCATACCATCATTCGATTTCCATCACAACCGATTACCACGCAAGTGAGTAACTCGCAATCGCGACCGTTTGAAGCGCACCCAGCGTCTTCGGAAAAATATTTACAAGTCGTTGCACAAATGAATACGCGTGAACATAAAGCAACGTTGTGCTTATTGTAGGAACAACGATTCTACCGGAAAATGCATGTAGATTTTATTTGCGATTTCCATGAAAAAATCTCCGACCTTTAGCTCAAGTGAAGGCATCATTTTGTCTAATATTTTTCGCAAGTTGTTGTTCAAAAAGATATTCAAGAGGTTGGTTGCAAATTTATCAACGCCTACTTTGCTGAAGTAGACCTGGGTATCTTTTACGCCGAAATCCATGTCCACGTTATCCACTTGAAAATATTCCTCCTCCATTTTATTACTCCAGTAATAATTACCATCTAGGGTGACATTGGCTATGGCATCCCGAAAATTCGCATGCATCCTGTACCCTCTTCTTAATATGGATGTATACAAGAACGTAGCTTTTATATCGTAGACACCGAACATTTTGATGAGTGGAAAGCGTGCTTCAAATTTAATTTGATTCATATTGGTGAAAAATCTGAAAAGTGACAGTTACATATTAGTTTTACACACATGAGTGGGCAAAAATTATAATTTTAAATACGTAAATGTCTAAAAATTATATGGTAAATATAAATATGTAATTTTTACAGACTTATGTGCGCAAAATTATAGTATTAATACGCGTACAAATGCGTAAAAAGTGATGAAATCCATGTGTGTGATTTTATATACTTACTTATATAAAATTATGTAGTCTTTTTTTACACATTTGTATGCGTATTATTATTACAATTTTACACATAAATGTGTAAAATTACACAGTTGGATTTACAATATGATAATGTTTTTTCCAGGCATTAGAATAGAATTTCCCTCTCCGACAATCGACACATTTAACAACGTCGTCGTACGATAAATGAAATGCTATCTTAACGGTGCCGACTATTCGATCGATCCTAAGACGATCTTCAGAATGAGACTACTATCTCAATTACGAATTGTACGTTATCCGTTAATAAATATCTGACTTATTTATCAAATTGACCGATTTTTATTACTTACCGAACGTTACTTATCGTAAAGTCTGATACACCGTATATTACTAAATACGTGAGCTGCACAGTCCCAGTAAATTCTTCATCGTAGTGAGAAAACCTATAGTATTACTTACGTAATGGTTCAAAAGGTGGTATATTCAGATATAGAATGCCGTCTTTTAAATTAGGTCTTAATGATTCGATGCTGTGTGCTATGCATTTGTTTAATTCGCTTTGGTGACGGCTACATTTGTGCAGGTTCGGCACTAAAAATAAAAGGCACCGTGTCCGTAATATCTCTCATATATAGATCTTAATATAAATATAAATGATATTTATTTCAGAATATATATATGTACGAGAGTAAATACCTTTATCCTTGTCTTCTTTTGCTAATAGAATAATATTCTATGGAAGATACACGTGATCTCAAGTATTTATTTAGAATATATGTCTTGCCGACGAAATATATATATATATATATATATAACAATTCATAGCAAGCGAGTTAAAAAAAAGTATTAAAATCAATTGAGAAATTAGGCTGTCCAGCGATTTTTGTCCAAAAAGCGTGTCTTTTCTCCCACTGCGCACAGATACCGTGAGAAGTTATTTATTCACAGAATAAATTTATCTTTTAGATACTCTTTCTCTTCGATATGTAATTACTTGAGAAAAAGTACCGAGCAGAAAAATTACAAATATATCAAGTTGCATTGTTCTAAAAAGACAAATGGGATCTTATGTTCTCAATTTAAAAATTAAAAATGTAAATTCAAATTTTCGCTCCACAATATATTAAAGTCCATATATTAAAGTTACAAAACAATTAGATTATTTCGTTCCGAATAGTCTTCTCAGCAGTTGACGACAATCGTGTAAATTCACGAGAACTTTCGGCACGTGTCTTTACACGTTTTTCATTATTTTTCTTGTCTTAGCTCACTGCTAAATCACATGTTCATGATATACACCATGTCGACACGTGATCGTCTTATTTATATATGCTGGATTATGCTTATTTATATGCTGGATATCGATTCAGCAAGCATATTAGAGGGAGATGCGAAATCGAGAACAAAACGAAGTTGTTACTTCTCGTCGGAATCCCGCAGTCAGTGAATCGTCAGATTCGCGCGTGAAAATCGACATTTCAGCATATCGTCAAAGCTTAACTTGGACAGAGAATCACACGTCGCAGACAATGATTCGTGTCAAATCGTTTTTTTCGAACGAGAGTAAATACCTTTATCCTTGTCTTCTTTTGCTAATAGAATAATATTCTATGGAAGATACACGTGATCTCAAGTATTTATTTAGAATATATGTCTTGCCGACGAAATATATATATATATATATATNGACGATTCACTGACTGCGGGATTCCGACGAGAAGTAACAACTTCGTTTTGTTCTCGATTTCGCATCTCCCTCTAATATGCTTGCTGAATCGATATCCAGCATATAAATAAGCATAATCCAGCATATATAAATAAGACGATCACGTGTCGACATGGTGTATATCATGAACATGTGATTTAGCAGTGAGCTAAGACAAGAAAAATAATGAAAAACGTGTAAAGACACGTGCCGAAAGTTCTCGTGAATTTACACGATTGTCGTCAACTGCTGAGAAGACTATTCGGAACGAAATAATCTAATTGTTTTGTAACTTTAATATATGGACTTTAATATATTGTGGAGCGAAAATTTGAATTTACATTTTTAATTTTTAAATTGAGAACATAAGATCCCATTTGTCTTTTTAGAACAATGCAACTTGATATATTTGTAATTTTTCTGCTCGGTACTTTTTCTCAAGTAATTACATATCGAAGAAAAAGAGTATCTAAAAGATAAATTTATTCTGTGAATAAATAACTTCTCACGGTATCTGTGCGCAGTGGGAGAAAAGACACGCTTTTTGGACAAAAATCGCTGGACAGCCTAATTTCTCAATTGATTTTAATACTTTTTTTTAACTCGCTTGCTATGAATTGTTCTATGATTTAATCGTGTCACTTTTTCCAATTTGAGCTCTAATTAAAAATGGCGGACTAAAAATGTTTGTCATTTTCACGCATAAAGTGGGCAAAAACTGCACGCTTGGATTTGTAGTACGTGAGCCGCCACTCTCGGCAGATGCAATTGCATTCAAAACGCTGTCGGTATTTGCAATCGTTCAGTTGCAGCGCGTAAACGCACTGACTTCTGCTGCTACCTGCGCAAGATCGCACGAACTACGTCTCCGAGACGTGAAGTAATGTTTGTACGCTCATAAAAGCCCGACGTTACTCAGAATTAATATATCACACGGAAATTCGTTCTTTATATATACTTTTTATTGCTTTGTACAGAGATAAAATATGTTCATGCTTTAACTTTCATTTTCGAGTTGGTAAAAAGATCAGTATCGTGGTTGCGATAAAAAAAATTCTTTCAAGCTCTCCGGGAAAAATAACTTAAAAAAAAATGTTATAACTATCGTCCGCTTCCTTTTCTGGAACTTTCGCACACATATGTGTCGCTTTGCACATAATTGTACTTTTCGTCTCATTATACGGATATTTTCCTCTCGATGCGGTTTTGAAACACAGCCGATGGCCTGATGAAAGAACTTCTCGAATTAATCAAAAAGGACTTCTCTCATTGGACCGTCTGCTGAAACTCAAACTATGTTGAGAGGAAAGTGTTCAAGCTTGAATCCAAGCGTACATTCGGTTGCACGACGTTTTCACGCTTTTTCCCAATGAAGTTGGGAACACATCGAATAGTCCCGATTACGAACTACTATTCATATATTTGCGCTATAATCAATTCTGTTAGGAGATGAAGTGACAATATACGAGACATCCGACGTTGCAACTGCAACGGTGGATTTAGAAATAATACAATGTATTTTTATTATACTTTTATCTATCATGTAAAAGTATAATAAAAAGGACCACTATACTTACATCTCGTATTGCCATTCGAGTCCCGTCATAACAAACTATTACGCAAGTCCCGCTCGCATTCATAGTCATTTGATGCACGCGTCTTCGGAAAAAATATTTAAAAATCATTGTACCAATGAATGCGCGTGAATTTTCGTCGGGCCGATAAAACAAAAGCAACAATGTTCATTGTGGGAACAACGATTTCGTCGGAAAATTCCAATAGATGTTATTTGCGATTGTTACGAAAAAATCCTCCGCGATTATCTTAACTACGGGCATTATTTCGCCCAGCATTATTTGTAAGTTGTTGTTCAAAAATTTATTAACGATATTGGTTGCCACGTCGTTGAGATCTATCTTGCTCAAATAGACGTTGCTATGTGTTATGTTGAAGTGTATGTCCATGTAATTCACTCGAAAATGTTCCTCTTTCGTTTCAGTTTTTCTATAATATTCACCATCTAGGTTGACTTTGGCTATGGTATTCGTAAAATTCGCACGTAGGTTGTGCCCGCTTCTTAATATGCGTACACCCATAAATACAGCGTTTATGTCGTAAATACCGAATATTTGGATGAATGGGAAACGCGCTTCAAATCTGATCTGATACACGTCGACGGTACATCTGAAAAGCGACAATTACAGGCTAACTTTGCGCACAGCACGGTGTGCTTCGTTTCGGTCAACAAAAACTATTATTTCGTTTGTCGTATGTGTATTGTCAGATGTGCCAATTGATTATCGGATACACTGCAAATCCAAATGTGTAATTTCACAGATTCTAAATATCGTAACATGTGAATGTGTTATTAACACATGTCACTTATTCACATGTCATTTTAGATTTATGGTATAATAACTTTTTTCTTCGGACATTGGAATAAAATTTCTCTCTCCGGCAATCGACATATTTGACAAGTATCGTTGCGCAACAAATGAAATACTATTTTAACGGTGTCGACTAACTGGATAATCTTAAGTTGATTTTCAAGATGTGACAACCATTTAATTATGAATCGTGCGTTATCCGCGAATAAATATCCGACTTATCTGTCCAATTGACCAATCGTAATTACTTACTCGACGTTACTTATTGTAAAATTTGATACACCGTACATCATTAAATCCGTTAATTTCGCAGTCCCATTAAATACAGCATTGTGCTGAGTAAACTCGTAGTGCTCCTTACGTAACGGTTCAAAAGGCGGTATATTCAGATATGAAATACCGCTGGCTAAATAAGGCCTCAGCGATTCTATGCTGCGCTTTATACATTTATGTAATTCGGCTTGTTGGCGGCTACATCTGTGTAGTTGCGGTACTGAAAACAGAAGGCACTGTGTCCGTAATTTCTCTCTTGCACGTAGATGATAGCGATATAAGTTATATTTATATATAAATCGCGATATAAATAAATTTATATATTAAATATAGCGATATAAATAAATTTATATATTAAATATAAATAAGACAAATTCTCTCGATAAATACTTGAGAACACGTGTATCTTCCATAGAATAAGATTCTATTCGCGAAAGGAAACGAAGATGAAGATAATCATTCTCATTCGAGAAAATTATTTTGCGCGACAATCGCACGGAGACTTACTGGCGCTTGCAAGGATCAAGGAAGACACCACAGCCAAGCTGCCCGTTGCAATGAGAAGAGCGAATATGACACGCATCGTGACTTGTGACATGGTTTTTAATCCAAGTTAAACTTAACGACGTGCTGAAATGTTGTGCGATTCTGACGTGCGAATCTAACGATTCACCGACTGCATGATCCCGACGAGAAGTGATAACAACCTTGTTTTGTTCTCGATTCCGCGTTACCTTCTAATATGTTTGTTGGACGTGTCGGGATTCGTATGTCGAACAGGACGATCATGTGTCAACATGATGCAAATCACAACCGTACATGTGGTTTTGTTATGAGCTAAGACATCATAAGCAAAACAAAGAATAACAAACATTTAAACGTACCGACGAAAGTTCTTGTGATGTCACGCGATTCGCGATTGTTAACTTCTGAAAAGACTATATTCGGAACGGAATAATCTATTTATTTCGTAATTTGGGTTCTTACTTTAACACGTTGACTGCCACGCTGATTTCCATCGATCGTACAAACGCCTAATTGATTCAATTAAATCACTAAAGCTGCAGTAAATAAATATAATTCAGGATACGCATCTGTTAGCTTGTTTCATTAGCTCATTACTGGCTGTACAACCTATTTTGTGCAATTAATTATACGTCACACGTAATTTAATAAAACGCGATAACATCATAGCGCCGGTCACCGGTGACCTCCGTGGCAGTCAACGTGTTAATATATCACGAGCCGAAAATGTAAATTTACGTTTTTAAAAATTATGTTTTCAGTTAAAAGCATTGAGAAGGGAATGGCGATTTACATCTTTAGGGCGGTGCAAACCTGTACATCTGTAATTTCTGCTCGACACTTTTTCACAATAACATATTGAAGAAGAAAAGTCTAATAAATGAAAAGCATATATTTTCTGTAGACAAATAACGTCGACTTCTACGTACGAATATTATCCGATTAATAAATTAAGAATAAGTCGAGATTCGCTTTTACTTGCATAACTTTTTATTACATTCGTTCAAATTACAGTCATTTGTTTACTTATTTCGCTTTTGTGTTCGCGTTGGTAAAAAGATCCGCGTTGGGAACCCGTCGAAGGGAAATCTTGTGTTCTCTCCAAAAAAAGAAATTTTTATTTCTCATCGTCCTTTTGACATCCTTGAACACATGTCTACTATCGTCCTAGATAATTGTATACTTGGTTTCATCGTATGGCTCATTGAACTATTTTCTCGGTGCAATTTGGAACACAGCCGACCAACAAGAAAACTTATCTTAATTGAATTAATTAAAAACATGTTCTTTCAATGAATCGTCGGCTGCGTTCCAACCTAAGATTAAGAGAAAAATAGATATAAACTGTTTTACATTACTGTTTTAAACAAAATGTATACTCGATTGTACAATAATTTGCACATGCTTTTTCCGATGAAGTTAGCTTAAGAACGCATGAAATGCTGCAAGGAATACTATTTTCCACAAGTACTGTCATTAGATTTCTGTCATAATTATTGTGCAAGCCAATTATTGTGCAAGCTAGTGACCAAGGGCTGGCAATTGTGACTACTTGATTGCCACCTAACTTTTTTCAGAAAACGTACAAACGGTATACATACATTTTTGTTCGATATGAAACATTAACACGCGTACAATTAATCGGGTTAACGATTGTCAGGCTTCAACGAAAAATTAGGGATCTAGCTAGATCATGTTGGCATTAAAAATCTTATCGGATATTGCATGTAAATCTTATTAGTGATTACACGGATGATTCTGGCAGCGGCCATCTGGAGTTGAGGCCGTATGTTGTGTGCTACTGCTTTGCTTTTGTCGGTCAGAAAACTGTTTATATTGTTTACTAAGGGGTCAGGGTTGATTTTGTTGTCTAAGTTGATCTTCGCTTCTGACATGCTCAATTCCACGGAGACCTTACGCACACTGAAATACTCTTCTTCGTTGCTAATCTTTATAACATAATGTCCATCTATTGTAACGTTGGCTAATGTGTCTATAAAATGCCCATCAATTCCGTGTCCTCTTCTTTGCAAGTACATACCAAAGATCGTAGCGTTTATGTCGTACATAGCGAAAAATCGGATGGATGGAAAGTGCACTTCCAATTTAATCTGAGATACATTGGGATTAACTCTGAAAGCGATAGTTACATGTTAGTTTTGCACGCAATTGCGCCGAATCTGAGATCGAATTCACAACGTGGATCGTTCCGTTCTATTAAAGTTATTATTTTATTTGTTGTACAACGGCCATTGTCGAATGTGTTGTTAAACGATTGTTAGATAGAGCATTTCTGAGATTTCTAGTAAAATATTCAAACGGGCGCCGTAGAAATTTTCTATCCGATAACGTGAAATATTACTTACTCGACTTGTTTTATCACGAAAGTTGTTAGATTGTATACCCTTACATCCGTCAAATCCAGAGTACCATTATTTTCACCTTTCGGGATGAACTCATAGCGCTCCGTATAATACGGTTCGAAAGACGGTATTTCCATATTTGGAATGCCAGTCTCTAAGTAATGCTTCATCGAATTTATGCTCTGCTTTAGGCATATTCCTATATGTTTAGGTGATGCCTGGCGACTGCATCTGATCAGGAGAGGTACTATAAACAGGATACACTGAATTCGCAATTTATTTCTTACATGCTGCAAATGCAAGTGTGTAATTTTACATGTAGTCACTTTTTACGCATTTGTGCGCGTGTTAGTATTATAATTTTACATACATAAGTATGTGAAATTGCACAGTTGGATTTACAATATAATCATGATTTCTCCGGGCATCAGAATAGAATTTCTCTCTCCGACAATCGACATATCTGACAACGTCGTCGCACGATAAATGAAACGCTTTCTTAACGGTGTTGACTATTCGATCGATCCTAAATCGATCTTCAGAATGGGAGAGAGAGAGAGAGGTATAGGAGATATAGATATATTCATTTTCGTTCGAGAAAATTACTTTACGCGATGATCGAAAGTTTACTTACAATCCATTCCAACCAAGTCGGTATGTTCAGCCACGACTAAGCTGTTCGTTACAACAAGCAGCGCGAAAAAGACAAGCATCGTGACCTACGATGTATAGTCCTTGGTTAAAGTGAAACTTAACGACGTGTCGAAATGTCGGACGACTCTGACGTACGGATCTAACGATTAATCGAGAAATCACTGACTGGCTTCGCGATTCGACGAGAAATAATCACCTTGCAAGACTCTTATTTCCGCGTCCCTTGTTAATGCATGTTTGCTAGACGTGTCAGGATTTATATATCGAACAGGACGATCACGTGTCAACATAATGTAAATCGCAATCGGGCATGTGGTTTAGGAGTGATTTAAAGCATCAAACAAAACAGTAATATTAAACGTGTAAACAGACGTCGAAAATTCTCGTGAAATCGTGCAATTCGTGATCGTCAACTATCGTGGCGGCTTAACGAATTAATTTGTTGGATCGAGTTGTAATTTATACAACATAGAATCTGTAAGCACGTATGAATTCGGCTTTGCGTCTCGGATATATGTATAATTCGTGCAGACTCGTACAAGTAGCACGAAAAATCGATGATATTCGTCCACAGAATACATAAATTCCATTTTCTAAATATCTCTTCTTCAGTATGTTGTCCATTTAATTTGTCTAATAATATAATAAAGTTTGCTTGTTACGTGTAGATAAGTTTTTATTAAATTCAACGTTCAAAGTATAAAATAATTTGTACATCTTTTCGCTTTCGCTTTTGTGTCCGTTAAAATATTCACGTCGTGAATATATTGAAAGTATTTTTATATATTATATAACAGTTTCTTCATAGTTTTTATTATGAAGTTAGGAGTGCATCAAATGGTCACGATTGTAAGCCATTATTCACAATTTTGCGCTATAATCGTTTCTGATTGGAGCCGAAGTGATAGTATATGAGGTACTTGACGTTGCAAATGGAACGAAGGACTCAGGAAAAATATAAGTATTTTTATTATATTTTTATCTGTTCAGTAAAAGTATAATGAAGGAATACTATTCCAACGAATACTATCATTCGTTTTCCATTAGATTATCACGCAGGTTAGTGACCGGTGGCTGGCAACTGTGATTATTTGATTGCCTAGCTATTTAACTTCCTCGGGAAAATTCGTGCAAACGAATGTATATGAATTTTCGCTAGATATCAAATATTAACATACATTCAATCAATTATATTAAAGATTATCAGACGTCTATCGAAAAAATTTGTACAAGTTAGTGTACATGAAATAATAATTGATGTACATTTTCGCTTGATATGAAATATTAATGTGCATACTATCAATTGTGTTAAAGATTAAGATCAATTACATTAAACATTTCGACGGTCCGTTGCAAGTATACCATCCTCTCTTAAAATCTAAAAATCTAAAAATGTTCAGATTCGCCTTTCATTATTAATCTTATCGGGATATTTGAGAACATCTTATTGGCAATGAAACGGATAATTCTGACAGCGAATGCCTTAGCTGCGGGAGTTATTTCATTTGCTACAATTCTTTTATCGGTGGCCAAATGATGATTTATATGTCCTATTATAGGGTCAGGTACTTTTTTGTTGTACAAGTAGAACGTGGCTTCATTTATGTTCAATTCCACGGGGACGTTATTGATTTTGAAATATTCTTCATTATTGTCAGGATGCTTATAATATTCACCATCTATTGTGACGTTGATTGATATGTCTGTAATATTCCCCTTAACTTTACGATCTCTTCTTTTTAGATATTTATCAAAGATTAGAGCGTTTATATCATATTTGGCGAGAAATGTAATGCGTGGAAAGTACGCTTTCAGTTTAATCTGTGATATGTTGTCGTTAACTCTGAAAGATATAGTTTTAGGCTAGTTTTGCGCGCAGCTGTGTATTATCTACGACGTCAAATTTATGGCGTAGATTGTTTCAGTCGATCAAGGTTATTATTTCACTTGTCGAATAACAAATATTGTCGGATGTGCCAAACGATTGATAGATAGAGTATTTCTGAGGTCCCTGGTAAGATTTTCAAACGAGCACCCTAGAAATTCTCTATTAAAAAATTGAAAAATCCGATAACAAGGAATGTAAACCTAGCGATATCCATCAATCGATCGATTTTAAATTTATCATTTACGTGGGACAAAGACGACTAATATGTTATCCGAATGAACTTCGACTGGTCTGTCAATCCTGGCCATTTCTTACTTACTCGACTTTTCTTAACGTGAAGTTTGTTAGACCTTCTATCACGACATTCGAAAGAATCGCATTTCCATCAAATTGGTTTTCCGAGGTAAATTTAAACTTTTCTATGTTGTACGGAAAGAATCGCGGAATATTCAGACCTTGAACACCTCTCATCAAATGTACCTTCATTGAAATTACGCCTGACATTAAGCATTTTTCCAGATTTTTAATCGGTTGATGGCGATTGCACGTAATCAGGAGAGGTACTAAAAACAGAACACATTGAGAGTTCACAATTTATTTCTCATAAATATAGATAGATCAAAGCGATTTAAATATATTTTGTATTACAAGACAAATTTACTAGATAAATACTTGAAATTACACGTGTATTTTCCACATAATAGAATTTCAGTTGCGAGAGAAAATGGAGATTTAGATATTCACTTTTGTTCGACAATTTTATTTCGTGCGCCAATCGCAGGTTGACTTACCATCTTTATCAACTTGGTGGATTTTTTTGCTTATGACTAAGCTCGTTACAGCAAGGAATGCGAAAATAACATGTATTGTGTTCTGTGACATGGTTTTTTGTTGAAGCAAAACTTAATGATGTGTTGATATGTCGAGTAATTCCGCAAGTTTCTGTCAGTTAATTCTCAATTTACCGATTACTTGATTTCGACCTTGAAGTAAGCACTATACGTTGTTCTCATTGTCTTCCTCTTATATACTTCCTCGGCGTGACGGGATTCGTATGTCGAGCAATATATCATATATAAATATGATGTAAATCACGAGCGGACACGTGATTCAGCTAAGGCATCCAACAATAATAATACTAATCCTGTTGATACTCTATAAAGAGAAATCGTCTTTATTTATTATTATTGGTTTTAACTTGTTATTTACTTCTGAAGATCTCCTAGCAACGATATTAACCAGTTAACTGTGGCGATCTCTTTGTAAAGCGCCCACCAGTGTGTGTCGCGATAATCAAGCGAGTTAGCTCTCAGGAAGTTATAAATCCAACTCAAATTATTTATAATTTTCATTTGTTTGTTTCATTTCGTCTTGACCTCTAAACATTTTACCCATATTAAAATTTACGAATATAATTTAGTTTTCGCCAGAATTACAATTTAAATATCAAATTGTAACAAAATTTTACGCATGACGGATATAGTCGTCATGACACAAGATTCTGCCACATCTCCATGACGGATATAGTCGTCAAACACACTTAACTGGTTAATTGATGGTATCAACTAATAACGAAAGGCATGTTTCTTTTCAAAGCCCTGCGTCACTGCTTGCTGCATTACAAATTACTTCATTTTTACAAATTAATCGACGCTTAATGTTGCTAGAAGTTTTTCAGAAATAAGCCATTTTTCTTTATGCAGAATCTAGCTTACCGCTTTCTGTGCATTCATTAGCTCAGACAAAATAATTAATTTCTCATGAACTATTACAAATTTTACAAAATGGTACATGGCTTTTCTACTCAATTTCACCCGTTCTACTTGCACACCGCGGGAACCGAGATTAATTTCGGACACCCTGTATATCGCTTATTATTTGCGCTCGAAAAGTTAATATTTATTACTTAGATAGTTAAATAAAGTTGCAGAAAAATATCTTTTGTTCAGTCAATTATAAACTTACGAAGAGGCTTTTCAATATGAAAATTCAGTATCACGAGCCAAATAACTCAAATTATATGCTTGAAGCAAAGATTGGGTAATGTTCGGGATGATATGGTGCGAAAGACGATATATCTACATATGCAATACCGGCCGCTAAATGAAGTCTCATACATTCTATGATACTTTATGCAAATTTTTACAAGGTTATAGCAGCTGCTACATCGTGCAGGTTCGGATAAGCTAAGAATAAGAAACACTATGTTTTCAATTGCTTTCTACATTGATCAAGGCAATAGAAATATATTTTGTATTTGTTTCGAAATATATTTATATATACACACGGTTTTTTGACGAGCAGGAAAATCGATTCGACTAATATTAGAGATCACGTGCACCTTTTATAAAATATCGAAGGATGCGGAGGAATAGATACTCATACTCGTTTGAGAAAACTACTTTGCGCGACGATTGCTATGGTCAGGTAACTGAAATGTTTCCATAGACTGAGACGCTTGTAACTTATAATAAGGAGTGTGGAAATGACACGCATAGTGGCATGGCACGTGGTTCCTATGGTACAAGTAAATCTTAACGAAGTGCCGATATGCCAAGCTATTCTTATGCATGGATCTAATGATTAAACATTTTATACGTATATAACTCTTTATTACTTTTATTCAGTACAAATTAATTTGTATAATGTTTTTGCATTCGCTCCGTCGCATTAGTAAAAATGTCGCATTAGTACAAATGTGTGCGTTGAAAACAATTCTTCTTTTTCTTCTCCACGAAACATAATACGGCTCTACTGCCCGTTATATTTTCTATAATTTCCGGATACGAGTGCATTTTCCAAATAATTATACATTTGACGTCATTGTACGGATTAGTCACTTTTTTTCTCGATGCGGCTTTGGACACAGCTCATGACAGAATGACAGAACTTAACTTCTGGAATTTAATTAAAAACAAGTTCTCTCATTGAAGCATTGGCTGTGCTCTAAGTTGTATCGAGAGAAAAGTGTCTAAACCGTTTTAAAACCAAGTTTACTGTTCATGTATATACTGTATTAACTGCACTCGCTTTTTGCGATGAAGTAATAATTAAATTAATTTAAATATGATTATAATTGAGTTAATTTAAATTATATAAATTATTAAATAGAGCGTCAGCTGGTCACGATTGCGAGCTATTACTCACGATTTTGCATAATGAATTGTGACAGGAGCCGAAGTAACAGTATACGAGAAATCCGCCGTTACAACTGTAATGGAGGATCCAGGAAAACTGTTCTTATTATACTTTTATCTTTTCGGTAAAAATATAATAAAGCAATATTATTTTCAACGAGTACTGTTATTCGTTTTCTGTTTGATTACCATGCAAGCCAATGACTAGTAGCTGGCAATTGTGATCATTTTATTGTCTAACCATCTAACTTCTTCGGAAAAAATCGTAGAAACGAGTGTATGTACATACATTTTTGCTTGATATGAAACATTAAGTTGCATACATTTAATTATGTTAAAAATGATCAGTTTCTTGTTTTGTCTCGGTTACGAGAAACTCCATAATTGATTGGCATTATTAAACTCATCGGGATATTCGAGAATATCCTATCAGTAATCAAACGGATAGCGTTAGAAGCGAATTTCTTAACTTTAGGCATTATTTCACGCGCTACTTGTTTGTTATTGTTCTGTAGAAGTTCATTTATTTCTCCTAATAAACGGTGAGGTCGTTTATTATTGTTCAAGTAAACAATGACTTCACCCATACGCAATTCAACGGGGACGTTTATGACTCTGAAATATTCTTCTTTGTTGTTAGAATCCACGTAATATTCACCATCTATTGTGGCGTTGATTGCTATGCCTGATATTTCCATTCTAACTGTGCGATCTCCTTTCTGTAGATATTTACCAAATATCACAGCATCTATGCAATATATGGCGAAAAATTCAATGTATGGAATGTACGCTTCTAATTCAATCCGAGTCAAATCGGCGTTAACCCTGAAAACGAAAAAGAACTGTGAAAAGTTTCGAACGACAGTTTCAGTTTTGCGTGCAACTGCGCATTATCCACGATTGAATTGACGATGTATCGTTTCTGTCGATCAAGTTTATTATTTATTTATTATATAATGAATATTGTCCGATGTGCCAAAACGACTGTTAGATAGAGGATTTCTGAGATACCTGGTAAGATTTTCATACGAGCGCGCCTTAGAAATTCTCTATTCGACAATCGACACATAATATAACATGAAATATTAACCTAACGATATCATCTACATGAGACAATGACTGCGAAAAATACGTTATCCGTTAATGAATTTTGACTGGTTTGTCAACTTGATTGGTCGTTAGTTTACTTACCTGACTTTATTTAACTTGAACTTTGTTAGGCCGTATGTCGTTGGGTCTGTCAATTTCGCAAATCCGTTAAATTCTTTTCCCGAGATAAACTCATAATTTTCCTTGAAATACGGTTCGAAACTTGGTATTTGTAGGGCTTCAACGCCTGTCGCCAAATATGGTTTTATTGAATTTATGCTCGACTTTAAGCATCTTTCTAAAACTTCAGGCTTTTCGTAGCGATTGCATGTGATCATGTTAGGAACTAAGAACAGAATACATAGAGTTTGCAACTTATTTCTTACACATAAATCAAAGCAATTTAAACATTTTTTAATATATTTCTTCGGATTTACTTCGGAAAACACGTGGTTCACTCTGACAAGACAAATTTACTAGATAAATACTCGAAATTAAATGTATCTCCCACAGAATAGGACTCTAGTCGCGAGAGAAAACGGAGTTATAGATATTCACTTCAGTTCGATAAATTTGATTAACTATGCGCAGGTTTACTTACAATTTGTTTCAACGAAGTGGATTTTTTTCCCTACGACTAAATTACTTATAGCGAGGAGTGCGAAAATAACGCGCATTTTAACTTGCGTTATGGTCTTTTATTGAAGAGAAGAAGAACGATGTGCCGATGTTAACTCTCTCTGACAAATCTTTCTGCCAATCAATTTACAACTGACTGCTTGATTTCGGCGACAAGTAAGCACGTTGTTCTCGTTTCCGTGTCTCCTTCTTATATGTTTGCTCGGTTTAACGAGATTCATATGTCGAACGATACAATCACGTGTCAATATGATGTAAATCACGAAAGGGACACGTGGTTTAGCTCTGGTAGCTGAGGTACCCTGCATAATAATAACACTAAACCTGTTGACACGTACCGACAGTCCTCGCAAAGTCGCGCGATTCACTATCATCATTCGATGAGAATATTTGGGACAAAATAATATATCGAATAAAATTGTTACTTGAGGTCTTATCGTAATTATTGTAATTAATATTGAATCAAATACTAAGTCCCTTAAAGTTAAGTTAAGAAAGTAAGGTTTTTTTATTCTTTACATATGTAACTTTTTATTTCTCTTATTCGTAGTACAAATTAATTTGTATATTTTTCATTTTCACTGTCGCGATGATATAAATGTCAATATCGTATGAACACCCTGCAGAAAATTCTGTCGTTCTCTCCAGGAAGAACATTTTCTATAACTACCATTCGTTGTCTTTTTTGGAACTCCCGAACATCTTATACTCATTTTTCAGATAATTGTACATGTGTTATCTTTTTACACATATTTATAAATTAAATGTGCATTCGGTTGTACAATGTTTTATGCTCGCTTCTTGCGATAATATTAGGGAAACATCAGACGTACTATTATTGCAAGCTTATCGCTAATCACGAACTGCATAGTAATAAATTTTGAGAAGAGCCGAAGTAATAATTTACGAAACATCCGACGTTATAACTCTGACGTTGGATTCAGAAAAAATGTAAGTAACTTTATTATATCTTTATCTGTCAGATAAGGATATAATAAAAAGCTATTACCTTCAACGAGTATTGTCATTCGTCTTCTGTTACAACCGATTACCACGCAAGTTTGTGACCAGTGGCTCGCATTTGTGACAGTTTGATTGGCACCTAACATTTTCGGAAAAATGCACGTGTATTCTCGGACGAGACGAAACACGAATAATGATCGACGATTCGCAAATTTCACAAAATAATTTGCTTGACGTCAGAGTGATAAAATAAAACATTGAAGTTTTAGATTTTTGGCATCAACAATTCTATCGGGTATGTTGAATAGATCTTATTAGCGATTGAACGGATAACAGTGGCAGCGGCCCTCTGGAATTCGGGCAATATTTCTTTCCGTATCTCTATCTGTCCCCAGTCGCTGTTTAGATACGAATTTACTTCGTCCAGTATAGCATCTTGTTCGACTAGATTTTTTATGTGTGATGTGACTGATCTTATGCTCAATATCACTGAGACATCACGCACGTTGAAAAATTCTTCGTGATTGCTATCCGATGTGCAAAATTCACCATTTATTGTGACCTTGGCTACAGCGCCTATAAAGTTCCCTTTAAATTCGTATCTTCCATATTCCACGAATAAACCAAAAATTCTACTGTTTATTTTGCAGACAGCGATGAATGGGATAGATTGAAAAAATATATTAAATTTAATTTGAAGCATATCGGCGGAAACCCTGAAAATGACGATGTCAAGTTAATTTCGCGTGCAGCTGCGCAAGATCCGCGATCGAATTGAAGACGTGTATCGTTTTGCTCGATCGAAGTTATTGTTTCATTTGTCGCACGACGAATATTGTCGGATGTGTTATAATAATGCTGGTTAGAGCATTTCTAAGATCTCTAGGGAAATTCTTCCCGGGAGCAGCTTAGGAATTCTCTATCGGATCTGCATATCCGACAAAATGAAATATTCGCTCAATGGTTCGGATTAACCAGTCGATCTTATGTTTATCATCATCACGACAATCATCCCGGTCTGAATATTGCGTTCTCTGTGAACGGATTTTGACCGGTTTGCCAACTTAATCTGTCCTAATTACTTACTCGACGTTAATTACCGTGAACTTCGAGAAATTGTCCATCTCTAAACTCTCACATTTCGCAATTCCGCTAAAGGATTTGTTCGAGGTAAACTGAAAGTGCTCCGCTCTGAAGGGATCGATAGATGATATATTCAGCATCCGAATACCGTTCTTTAAATAAGGTCGCATCGATTGTATACTCTTCTCTATGCATGTTTCTATATTTTTTTGGGTGCGGTTACATACGATAAACTCTGGTTGGAAAACTAAAGACAAATATATCGTGTTTAAAATTTCTGCCATGGACGTAAATGAAAACGATATTAATATATTTTGTATTCGTTTCGGACGACGCGCGGTTCGTTGAGTCGAAAAAGTCGGCTTAGCGGATATTACTAATCACATATATCTTCTATAGAATAGGATTCTGGTCGCGAGAGAAGGTTTATTGAGATATAAAATTTTCACTCTTGTTTGAGAGAACTATTTTGCACAGCGATCGCAAAGATACGTACTTTCGTCTCGTAGGTCGGGATGACTTCTCACCGCGTCTAAGACGCTCGTTACAACGAAGATGGCGATAATGACACGCATTATGGCTCGCGAAGTGGCTCTTTGGTCGAGGTAAAATTTAGCGATATGCTAAAACGCCGTTAGACTCCGTTATGCAAATCTGACGATTAATCGGCGATACACCGATTGCCTGGATCTGAAGACAGATAATTAGCTGCTTCCGTTGTTGCTACTTCCACGGCTGCCGCTATTATGTTTGCTCGGCGTGTCAAGATTAGCATGTCGAACAGGCTGATCACGTGTCATCATGATGTAAATCACGAGCGGACTTGTTGTTTCATATTATCCTCAAGCACTGAGCAAAAGAATAATAGTAATCGTATAAACACAAGCTAGAAATTCTCGTGAAAGCGTTTCGCAATCATTATCCGTCGTGGTAAATATTTAGAGTCAAATAATCTGGAGAATCGGGAGTTGTAAGGTTGAATTTAGGATACTTAGGATTAAAATGTTTTTTCAAGTCGTGTATATCCCTTTCTTATGTCTATATCCCTTTATTACTTTTCTTCAAAGTACAATTTAAATAGTACATATTTGGTACATATTTCTCTTTCGCTGTCGCATTGCTAAAAATTTTAAATATTGCAAACGCGTTGAAGAAAATTTATTTGTTCTCTCCGAAAGAACAAATACTAAACGAATTATCATCCGTTGACGTCTTTTCTGGAATTCACGAACACGCGTGTACTCACTTTCCGGATAATTCTATACACATTTGATTTCAATTTATGGATTGGATACTTTCTTCTTGATATCATTTGAATATATCTAATGGTTTAATGAGAGCATTTAACTTCTGGAAATTAATCAAAAACAAGTTCTCTCATTGAACCCATTAGGGGTGCGTTCTAAACTGCACTGAAAGAAAAGTATCCAAACCATTTTGTAATCGAGGTTACATTTGTTTGCACAATATTTTACATACGTTTTTTGCAATGAATAGATTAATAGATCCTCAAGTGGTTATGATTACGAATCGTTATTCATAATCATATTCATATTCACGAACTTGCATGATATTCAGTTATGATGAGAGGCGAAGTGATAGTATGTGAAATATCCGACGTTACAGCTACAACGGAAGATTCAGAAAATATGGAAGTATTTTTATTATACTTTTATCTCTCATATAATAAATATAATAAAAGGCTACTATTTCCAACGTATACTGTCATTCGACTTTTGTTATAACCGATTATTATGCAAACTCATGAGTAGTGGCTTGTAACAGCGATCATTTGACGCGTGTCTAACATCTTCATGAGTAAATGTGTGAAAAAGTTGTGCAAAAGAGTGTATTCGCATTTGATGGGAAACATATCAATGTTAATGCGAACAATCGATCGTTTTGACGTTTAACGGATGTCAATAAAATTAGTTGATTAAAAATAATTAGTTGCTCGTCACAACGATAAAATAGAAATATTGATTTGTTTAGTACGACAATATTATTTACATTATAAACGCGTGCTTATCGCATTCGCGGTTTGTTGGATAATTTCGCTAACGACCAATTCGATTCTGATCTTAAATAAATCTGTTACAGTTTGCCACTGGATGTTCAGATAGTCATTTACAATAGTCGATAATAGGTGGTCTGTTCGAACTTGATCCAAGTACATACTGACGTGTATGAAGCTCAATTTCACAAAGACATTGCTCGCTACGAAACGGTCTTCGTTGTTTATTCTCCTATAATCTCCTATTATGTGTACATTGGAAGAAATGCCGCTTAAAGTGCTTCGCATTTGGTATCCGTGTCTATCTATATATATACCGGAGATAGTAGCGTTTATGCTATAAATAGCGCGCAATGTGCTTAATGGGATGTACGTTTGAAATTTAATTTCTCTCATTCCGGAAAAAACTCTGAAAAGGATTATGTTAAGCTAGTTAAAGTTCACAATAATCATATTTCAGTTGATTAAATATATTTTTTTTTTCATATTTTATTTCATATCGTACGATGAATATTTTGCGCAAATATGTTGAAAGATTGTTAAATAGAGCAGATCAATCTTAAATTTTTATCGCATCGCATGGAACTATCGTCCTGCATGTGAATCGTGCATTATTCGTAAATAAATTTTGTTTCACCTAATCGGTCGTTATTACTTACTCTACACTTTCCACCTGATAGTTTGAGAGACCGAACAATTTTATTTGCCTAAATACCGCATATCCCCTGAAGTCTGCATTATGTAATGTAAAATCAAAATAATCCGTTTGAAACGGCTGGAAAGGTGGTATATTTAATTCCGGGATGCCCGTGGCAAAGTAAGGCCTCATCATTAGCAATAAGTTCTCTATGCATTTTGTTAGATACATGCTGTAGCGATCACATCTGGGCAATTGCAGCACTAAACATAAAACATATCGATTTTATAATTTATTTCTTATACATATATCAAAGCGATTTTTAAATCAATTTCATATTTGCTTCGGGAAATAGCGTGGCTCGCTGACAAGACAAATCTGCTAGATAAATATTAGCTAAGATCACATGCATCTCCTACAGAAAATACTTTCTTAAGTCAGTGAAAATGTCACTGTTTAAATCAATAAAATAGTGTTGTACCAATCAATGAGCATTTTTGCACATTTTTAGCGGCAACACATCCACTTAGCACTTTTGTCTTACACTTCACTAATTTTGCTAATGATCGATTTACTGCGAATCATTGTTGCTTGTCTTATAGCAGAAATATATGTTCATATACATATATGCATTCAGCCATACATCGTATTTGGCGTAAATCGTGTGGTAAGAGACTCACAAATCAGAGCTCTCAGTTTTGAGTTTTATCAGGGTGAATGCGTGTTTCAAACCATGTAAATTAAACGTAATGAAAAATGTTTCAAGTAAAATTATTGGAAATATCTTAAGAATAATTAATATAAACAAAAGATAACATGTAATATCTTTCTCCGCTGTTTCTGCAATCAGATTACCCTGACGGAAACAGTCGTTGCTACTGACAGACTTTATCAGTGAAATTTTATTGAATTATAATTCTTATATCTCTGACTCTAAGGCTACTTCTATTGACTACTTCTCAGTGTTAATATATTGATTTCACTTAGAGAATAGAATTCTAGTTGCAAGTGAAAATGGAGATATAGATATTCATTTTTATTCGAAAAAACTTGCGTAAAAATCGCAGGGTTACTTACTTGATGTTTGGCCACTTCTTGCATCGTAGCTAAACGATTTTTCCGTGACTAAGTCGCTAGTCACGACGAGGAGTGCGAAAATAATACGCATCATGGTCAAAGTGAAATTCGAATATATGCCGAAATATTAAGTAACTCTGATACGTAGTTCTGATGATTCCGATAATCGGCAATATTTTCACCGCTCGATTCTGACGATAAACAAGCACCGTGACGTTTAAGTACGTAATCTGGCTTCCCTGTTCCGTTTCCTTCTACTTATACTTACTCGATGTGTTTAGATTCGATATATCGAACGCGACGATCACGTGTCAATATGATGTATATCATATCACGTGCGGACTTGTGGTTTAGCAGTGAGCTAAGGCATTAAACGGAACAACAATACTAAACCTGTAAACACGCGCCGAAATTTCGCGCAAAGTCACGCGGTTCGCATCACAATCGTCGTCGTCAAAGCGATTATTGATATTATGAAATTTGTGAGATACTTCTTAATATCTGAAGAGTTTTTATTGAAACAACTTCTTTACATATAATATGATTAATCTATTACAGAAGATTATGAAACCAAAGACTTGAAATTTTCAGGCAGCAATATATAAATATAAAAACCTTAGTTATACAACTCGATTTAACATATTATTATTTCGTCCCGAGTAATAGCCTCGGCGTATGACAATAACGAACCTGGCGACTTTGAGAGATATTTCGATGTGTGTCTACATGTTTAGTATTATTGTTTCGATTAGTGCCCTAACTTGCTGCTAAACCACGTACCAGCACGTGACTTACATAATGTTGACGCGTGGTCAACTTGCTCGACCTATAAATCGCAACACATCGAGAATATTAGAGGGAAACAAAGGAGCGAGAATAACGTGAAGTGCTTGTCGTCGAAATCAAGCGATCGGAGAATTGTAGATCAATCGTTAAAACCGCACGTCAGAGTCGTTCGGCATTTCGACACTTCGTTAAGATTCATTTGAACGAAAGACCACATCATGATGTATATTATTTTTATACTCCTCATTGTAACTAACGGCTTAGTTGCAGATGAACCTCAGAGCAAAAGTAAGTAACCCTGCGATCCACGCGCAAAATATTTCTCTCAAACGAAAGTGAATATCTTCCTTATGTCTCGCGATTAAAGTTTTATTTTATGGGGGATACATGTGATCTCAAATATTTATGTAGCAGACTTGTCTTGCCAACGAATATCGTATTTTCCGAAGCGAATAAGAAATATATTAAATTCGCTTTGATATATATACGAGATATAAATTGGGAACTCATACACTATATTCTGTGTTCAGTACAAGGTCTGAAACTATGTAAACGTAACGAAGAGTTTCTAAATACATGCATACAGTCCAGCATAGAATCGATAAAGCCTCACTTAGCGAAAGGTTATCCGGCTGATAAATTACCGCCTTTTGAGCCATATAGAATGGATGTTTTCGAGATCTCTAACGATGATTTTAATGAGAGGGAGAGGTTTATGGAAATAAGCATCAGCGGTTTAACAAATTACAATATAAGTCAATTCAAGTAAGTACTTACGAGCAATAAAATTGACAGGCCAGTTGAAATTCATTTACGGATAACGCAATATTCAGATACAGGATAATTGTTCCATGTAACATTTAAAAATGAGGTAGCAATTCAATATTGAGCGTACGTTGTTCTAAAAAATTTTTTAAATCAGAAGTGAACATAATATTACTCGCTAACAACTATTTACGATTTTTCATCCCGTAATTGTAATCATTGACTAACTTATTTATCTGGCCACTAGGAAAAGTGAGCGTTACTAGTGAGCATTACCGACTAATATTGACGTTAGACACGAATTTACTATTTCGTAGCTAAACAATTGTGAAGTTCAGTTTTTACTAAGGTGTTAGATTATAATATTACATATTGTTAGATATGCCGATTATCAAATAAAAAATTTCTAAAACGCCCAGTGGAAATCTTACCAGGCACTATAGAAATACTCTATCCAAACGTCATTCAGTATATCTGCCAATACGTTGTACGACAACTGAAATAAAAAAATTCGACAGAAAAGATCCACGTCGTGAATCGTGCGCAGCTGCGCGTAAAATTAACTTGAAATTATCCTTTTCAGCATGTCTTCTCGCGATCTAGAACAAATGAATTTTGTAGCGTATTTTCCACGAATTACAATGTCCGCTATCTACGATACAAACTCTAGGAGTACGGATACACCCACGGAAAATAGCAGACAACCAATGATTGGGGAGTTTAATGGCGTTAGAGCTGTAATCCGTATCGATAATGAACGTATTATAAAAATTCCTAAAATAGGGACCACAGTAACCTATTTGAGAGTAAAAACAGTCTTAGTAAAATTGAGTATACAACACTTTGTTACCTACGTGGGCGACCAAAAAAAGAACTATAGGATAGCGGAAACAATAAATAACATTGTGTTCAGGAGGTGGAGAGCAAGAATAGATGAAATAATGTTCCATATTGAGAGACATGCTTCCAAACTTATCAAAGACGCCGCGAGTTCAATATTCGATGATTTCTCGATGTTTCTTTTATTGCCCACCCATCATCCATAATAAGGACATTACGCGCCAGGTCGCGCTCTTCTTGTTTTATCGTCATGACGACATAATCTAATTATTTTATAACAACTGTTAATCGCTTTATGTATTATATATATATAATTATTCGCATATTAATGTTCCTTATCGAGAGAAGATCCGCGAACGCTCTTTTGCACAACTAATTCCATATTTTTCCGGAAACATTGAGTGCTCGTCAAACGGTCACGACTGAGAGCCACTGCTCATGGACTTACGTAGTAATCGGTTATATGATAGAAGTTAAATTACAGTATACGTTGAAAATAGTAAGTCTTTATTATACTCTTACCTAAGAAGTAAAAGTATACTAAAAATACTTGAATTTTTCCTGAATCCACTGTTACAGTTGTAACGTAGGATGTCTCGCATACTATCATTTCTGTTCCTGCTATAACCTATTATTGTACAAGCTCGTTAGTAAAAACTCGCAGTCGTGACCATTTGATATTTTAATTATTTTATCGGAAGAAGCATGTGTAGAATGTTGTGTAAATAAATATACATTTGATTGTAAAATAGTTAGAACATTTTTCTCTCGATACAATTTGGGACACAGCCAATAGTTTAGTGAGGAATTTTTTTTTTATTAGTTTCCAGAAGTTAAACTATCTCATTAAACAATCAGATATGTTTAAAGTGTATTGAGAAGATAGTGTATAATTTGTACTGTGAAACCAAATGTTACAGTTACTTACTTAAAAAATTAGTACACGTGTGTTCATAAATTTTAGAAAAGATAACGGTCGCTAGTTACAGGATTTGTTTTCCTAGAGAGGGTGGAAAATTGTATTTCATGCGTTCACAGTACTGTCATTTGGCATTACATACTGTTATTTTACTGGCAATACTGTCATTGCCGTCATTTTTAGCAACGCAAGAGAAAAAATGGTAGAATGTACAAATTAATTTGTATTTTGAATGAAAGTAATAAAGAGATACATGCCAGAAATGAACCTTGTGACGTTTTAATCTTAAATTATGTTGAATTTGTTCGCACATATAAATTACTCTTTACATCCCTGAAAACGTTGATATGATCTTTTGCAGGATAAAGCAAAAATTGCACAAAAATCGAGTGTTTAGCCAATAATGGTCACTAATTCGCTTTTTGGTCTACGTAGCTGTTAGAGCGATAGTGATATATATATATATATATATATGTATATGTTATAGTGATATATTTCTATTAAATATAATAATATTATATCATTATAACTGTTCTCAGTAATTAAAATATTTATATCAGTAATTAAAATATTAATGTTTATTCTTACCTTATTCGTTGTTTATCCTTTATCATTTTTTACTATTTTCCAGCCTTTGTACGGTTCTGAGAAATTTTGGTCAGGATTTTGTGAAGATTCACCACTATACGACGTGTCGAAATATCCAACAAATCTTACACGCGAATCGGATCATTCGGTGGCAATATCTAGATTGCATTTTGCAATATTTAAACTATTTAAACTATAGTTTGAAAAAATCCCGGCTCTTTCCTGAGCCTTCAAAACTAATGTAAACATATTACAGGAGGCGTGAATCAATATTTTTTAGTTTTCAAAATTATATTTGTTCAAAATATTCAAATCATTTTCACACTTTTTTCATTTCTGCTCCCGCGCTCAAGAAAAATGTCAAAACGTCATTGTACTTATTAAACACTTTTTATTCCACATGGTTTTGAACATAGCTGATAGCACAGTGAGGAAAATTAATTTTGGAGAATTAATCACAATCAGATTTCCATGTTGGATCACACTCATTATGATCCAAGTTACATTGAGAGAAAAGTATCGAAACGCTTTTGAAATCAATCGTACAATCGTTTTGCGCACGCTTCTTTCAACGAAGTTAGGAAATCGTCAGTTGATTTTAATTTAGAGTCACTCCTTACGTATTGGTACATCGATACACGGTAATTGATTATGACACAGGGATCGAAATGATATTATACGAAACATCCGACGTTACAGCTGCAACGGAGAATTTAGGAAAAATACAAGTATTTTTATTACACTTTTACCTGTGAGGTGAAAGTATAATGAAGAGATACTATTTCTAACGTGTATTATCATTCGACTTTTATGACAATCGATTACGAACCGATAATTATCATGAAAGTAGCTGAGTAGTGGCTTGCAATGGTGACCACTTGGTTGCCACCTAAAATCTTCGGAGAAAGATTTGTATGCAAAATTTCACGCAAACGAGCGTACATGAAATCTCGATACGAAATCTCGATATTAAATATTAATATATTAATATATAATATAATAATAATATATTGCGCGAACAATCTACTGATGGTTAATAGTTATCATAAAAGAAGTAGCTTTTCGTTTCGGCGAAAAAAGAAAAACACTACGACGTGATTAAGAAGGTGGCATCAATATTTTCATCGGATAAAACGAGTATATCTTATTCGTGATTGTCTTTATAACATTGGAAACGGCTACCTCGAGTACAAGCTGTATTTGGTCCATTTTAGTTTGATCCCATTCGGCATTCGCATAGGTATGTAAAAAGCTTGTTAAGTCGTAGTTGTTGTCAACGTGTCCCATGTAGGTTTTAGCTTTTGCAATCCTCACTGTTGTCAAGACGTTATTCACTTGAAAATATTCTTCGTTGTATTTATTGTAAAATTCACCATTTATCGTGATGGTAGCCTTGGTGCGCTCAAATTTCCAGTTCATTACGTATCCGGTTCTTGAAATGTTTGTACCGAACAATGTAGCATTTACGTCGCAGATCATGGATAGATAGATGGGTGAGTTAAAGAAATATGCATCAAATTTAATTTGAGACATATGGGAAGGAATTCTGAAAGAGATAGTTGAAGACTAATTTTACACACAGTTGCTCACGATTCGCGATCGAATTCACGACATAGATCATTTTAATCTGTCGAGGTTATTACTTCATTTGTCATACAACGAGCGATACCGAATGTTGCAGATGACTCTTTAATAGAGCATCTTTGAGGTTTCTCATAATATTTTTTCCCAACATCCTGAAAGTTCACTTTTCGATAATTAGCACATTCGACAACGTCCGTAGTGCGGCAAATGAAATATTTTATTAATCATTTCTATCAACCAATCGATTCTACATGGATATTCGGAATGGGAATCTCGTGTCTGAATTGTACATTATTCGCGAATAAATTCCGACTTGTCAGTCAACTTGGTCAATCGTTATTTACTTACTGAATATTAAATATTTCGTAGTTTATTAGATTGTACACCTTCATATGCGTAATATTCACCAAGCTATTGAATATTCCTTTAACACTAAACTGGTAACTGTCGACGATATACGGCTCGAAAGACGGTATATTCAAATGAGGAATACCGGTCGCTAAGTGAAATTTTATCGATTCTATGCTCCGCTTCATACATAAATCCTTTATCTGTTTGTCACGGCTACATCTGTGCAGGTATTTTACTGAGAACAGAATACACATTATGTAATTTTTTTCTTGTACATAGATCAAAATGATACAAGTATATTTCATATTTGTTTCGGAAATGAATGACGTGATTCGTTGGCAAGAAAAATTAATAACTTCTGGATGAATACTTGACATTACATATATCTTTCATAGGCCCGTATTTATAGTCGCATTTCACTGTGTAAAAGCATTTATAATACGGTGCAACCAATAAGACGTAAACATTGCAAATAAAATCAATGTTCTGCCTTTAGATGTTATACTTGAAAACTTCACCGACAGAATACCGATTCTCCTTTTTTAAAACGGTATTCAATTAAGAAATTCAACTGAAATATCCCATACGAGAAAAGTCTCAAAACACGACTATAAATACGACCCGTAAAGTAGGATTCTATTCGGGAGAGAAAGTCGAGATATAGATTTTCATTCCCTTTCTAAATAAATCTATTTTGTGCGACGATCGGATGATTACTTACGTTCCACTGAAGGATAATTGAAAAGTTTGTGCTGAGCTAAGCTGCTCGTTACAATGAAGAGCACGAAAATGGCACGCATCGTGGTCTATTGTGTGGCTTTTAATAGAAGATGGTAGAAGATAGACTTCAGTAGAAGTGAATCTCAACGACGTATTAAAATACTGAATTTTATACGCGAAATTGATTGTTCACATGCCACACCTTAGTTGCGTTGTCCCACCGACAAATAAGCCGTTGTTCTCGATTCCGTGTTTCCCACTTATACTTACTGGAAGTATCGGGATTCGTATTTTGAACTCAACGATCACATATCAACATATGTAAATCACGTGCACACTGTGATTTAGCAGTGACCTATCGCACTAATCGAAGGCATGATACTAAACTTGTAAGAATATGCCGAAACAACGAAGAATATTAAAAGCTGTTTACATTAATAACCTGTAATGAGAATATAAGAAAAATAGATAAAGGAACCTTTATGTTAGATGCACGACTTAAATCATTTTGGTCGTCGAGATTATTATTTTATTTATCGCACGACAAGCGATGAGAAATATTTCAGATATACAATGATACTTGTGAAGTCTCAATTTAACATTTTTTCCCAGCATCTCAGAAATTCTCTATACGACAATTAACGCATCCGACAATCCTTATTGTACGACAAATAATATTTTTTCAACCGTTCCGATCAATTGGTCGATCTTCCACAGATGTCCGGTGACAATCATTTCGTGTCTGAATCGTGCATTTTCCATTCTTCAAATAAACTCTTAACTTAGTCGATTATTATTACGTACTTAATATTATTTATTATTATTACTTACTGAATATTATATATTTCGTATTTTGTTAGTTCGTACAACTTCATATGCGTAATATTCACAGAGCTATCGAATATTTCTCTCAAAATCGACGCTGTACGGTTCGAAAGACAATTCAAATATGAAATACCGGTCGTTAAGTGGGATCGTTTCTACGTAGGTTGTTCTGAAAGTCTCCGCATGATGGCATTAGGCACATCGCGTCACATCAAAACTGTTGATAGGTTCTTTTAATTTCATATATTTAATTACACTTTGCTTTTTGATGTATCAAAAAATGTTCTTTCGTTCAGTCGTGAGACGTGTTCAAAGTTGACGCTTTCGAAAAAAATGAATTTATCACGAGAAAACTTCCGCGCGATGATTTTCTTTACGGCATCAAAAAATTGTTAAATCCTCTGAAGTGCGTCGAAAGTCGTCGTTCGGTTATTGGCGATGAATTTTCGCTCGTTGCGAAACGATACGATATTAAAGCGCGAACAATCGATCGTATTGACAATTAACAGTTGTCGTAAAAGAAATAGATGTTCATTTCGGCGATAGAATAAAAATATTGCGGCGTGCTTAAAATGGCATCAATACTCTTATGGGATAATACGAGTATATCTTATTCGCGGTTGCATATATAATACTTGAAGCGGATATTTGCGTTATGATCTCTAGTTTAGCTACCAGTTCGTCCCAGTTGGAGTGCAGTTGGTCATTTATCATGTTGATGTAAATATCCTTGTTGTTTTCGTCTCCAGCACAGGCCTTACCACCTAAAATCGTCAATCTCACAATAACGGCTTTAACTTGGAAATATTTTTCTTTACTGTAATCCTCATAATATTCGCCGGTTATAGTGATATTGGACCATATTTCTTTCAACATCCATCTTACGTATTCGAATCTTTTTGTACGTCTCTTGTAAAGATTGTTCATGTCGCAAACAGTGATAAATTTCATGGACGGAAAAAACAGTTTAAATTTAATGTGAGACATATCGGCAGAAATTCTGAAAGCAATAGTTTCAGGTTAGTGTTGTTCGCAGCCGCTCACGAATTCGCAATCGAATTCGTGATGCATCGGTCGGCTATTGTTATCATTTTATTTGCCATACAACGAATATGTCGAATGTAAACAGTTTACTGCCGGATAAAGCGTCTCTAATAAAACTAATAAAATAGAATTTTTTCCCTCTATATCTGCGAAAGAATTTCCATTTGTGTTATACCAACCTGTGATCAATCGTCATTACTTACTCGATATCATATGCTACGAAATCTGTTAGACCGTAGATTTCCATATGCGCAATTCTCATAGTAACATTATTATATATTATTTGTCTCACGATAAGATCGTAACCCTTGATAACATACGGATCGAAAGATGGTATATTCAAATCCGGCACACCAGTCATTAAATGAGGCTTTATCGATTCTATGCTGCGTTTTACGCATAATTCCATCACCTCTTCGCGGCGGCTACATATGTGCAAGTGCTTTACTAAGAACAGAATACATGTGTTCTTTTTTTACACAAATCAAAGCAATATAAATATATTTTTTATTCATTTTTGCAAACACGTAATTCACTGAGAAGACAAATCTATTCGACAAATATTTGAGATAGAATAAGATTCTCCAGTTGCAAGGAGGAAACGGAGGGACAGATATTCACTGTTGTTCGAGAAAATGATTTTCCACAACGATTGCAAGGTTACTTACATGTTTCTTTAAGATGTATGATCGTTCTCAACATTGTTATATCGTATATTTCCACGTTTGGATCATTGTTGAAAGATTCCACCGCAACCAAGCCGCTTGTTACAACGAGAAACGACAAGATGCCACGCATGGTAGCCTGCGATATGATCATCGATTTAATTGCAACTCAACAACGTGCCGAAATGCCAAGCAAATCTATCGTGCGAATATGACGATTAGTCAGCGATTTATTGACCGCGTATCTCCGACAACAAGTAACAGCCACGTATTACTTTTGTTTCTGCATTTCCCTCTAATACGCTTCCTCGGCGAGTCAGGATTAGTATGTCGGAAGCGACGAATATTACGTGTAAACAACAACATAATGTAAATCACGAGCGAACATTGGTTTAGCAGTAACCTAAGGCATTCATCACTCTTAAGAGAGTTAAAATAACACCCAAATTAATTCTCAAGGTGAGAATAACACTCAAGTTAACATTCTAAGGCCGACATTCTTGGTCGGATTTTAAGTGCAGTATCGAAACCACAGAGAGACTCATTATAAAACTAGGAGATGCAAAAAATAAAGTGTCGGTCTTTTTTATTTCATCAAAATCATCCAACATTACTTTGCATTATCTAATTTGCATCAACGCAATTTTGTTGCAAATAATACTTTGTAATTACAGTATACACAACACAATATCGATAGTTAGTTCAAAGCCGATATTTAGGTTAAACGACTATAAATCTCGACCATCGATAGACCATTACAATTGACATCGATTCGACTTCTTATTTCTAGTTGAGCTTTTACAGTTTGACTTTCAATGAAGTCGCGATCCCTCCGTGAAACGCACATCGGGTAACGAGCGATGCCTCATCTAATTGTTGTAATTGTCGGTGGAAGGTCGTAGGCGGACCTTGCCCTCCATTACATCATCGCACGCCTGGGGAACTTAAGGGAATGTCGAACGTCGCGCAGAATCTGTCGCGGTGTCCAATCAGGTGTACTCGAGCCACATAGTTAGCCATCCTCAGCGTATACTCGGGGAAAGAATTTATTATAGGAGCTGAAATAAGGACAGCTAATATCGTTGCTTAACAAAGCATTGTACAAATTGTAAATAGAATGAGGGGTGAGGGGGGTGGATAATACCATTTTCTCTACAATTGCACCTTGCAGCAAACGCATGCTACCTCTAATAGCTAATATCGTCGTTATCGACATCAGCTGTAGCTATTTAGCCGCCACAATTAGATTTGAGCCCCTGCGGCTAATTTTCTGCCCTGAGTGTACAAGACTAAATCCGTGGCCCAGATTCATCGTGACCCGATATGTCTTGCTACGATGCGCTATAAAAAGCGTTCGTGAGCGCATCGCCGGCTCGCAGTCGACACTTTGCGGTGCCGATTGAATTCGCGGGATCGCCGAATCAGTTTGACTTTCCCATAGTCCGCTTCGCGTTGATTTGCCTCGATTCTCAAGATGTTACTCGGGACGGCCGAGAATCACGAGCCGACTGGACGCGACGTATGCTGAATTGCAAACTGATGTGCACGATCGTCACGTACCTCCTGCTGATACTCGTCGTCGTCGGCATCGTGCTGCTGCTGGTCTATAAGCTGAGCTACGTTTGGGAGATCGACGTGCCTGAGAACACGGAGACCGAATTCACGAGGGCGACTCCTCGTTCGAACTCGAGATAGAACGTTTCGGGCAAGATACCATAAGTTTACTTCACTCGCCGCAAGATGAACAAACAAAGACTCCTGCTCGTGCTTCTGATACTTTCCACAGCGACTTTGGCGAGATGCGGCTTGCTGGAAATGTCCCAGATGCTGTGGACCAAAACGGTGTCCGGAGCCCCGACGAAGATCGGCAAGCTGGACCCGTTGAGGGTACCGTTGATCAAGGTGAATCAATCCGAGGACGACATCAGCTACAGAATAATTTTGAGGAACTTGGAGATCGTCGGTCTCAACGAGTCCACTTTGGAAAGCATCCACGTAGCTCGTGGTAGGCTGAAGTCGAATTTGAGCGAGGTCGAGGCCGGTTACGTGAGTTACAGCGACCTCAGAGACGTGGAGTCCGTCAGATATCGGTTCCACACCATGATGAGAGAAGGCAACCCGCCAAAAGAGAGCTTTGCGACCGTATCGTCGAGTCAAGCCGCCGGGACTTCTTCGCGTTACCAAGAGAGTCGCGTCGGCAGGTTGCAGCAGGATCAGCACGGATTCAGGACGGTCGAGCAGACTCGGCAGTACGACAGGACAGCATTCTCTCGTCCTGACGCAATGCCCGACGGACCTCACAGAGGCGGTCTGAGAACAAGCGGATCAGACTCGAAGGCATATACCGGACATTTCGCGAGTTCTCAACGGCCGGCTTACGTTCAGCCGATTTACACGCAGCAGCCGGAGGATTTCCACAGTTATCAGAGCAGTTCGCGGGATAGCGAGGACACAGTCGACTGCGACGACGTGCGGGATTACCAATACCGAGGTGGTCTGAAAAGCAATCGGCAGTATGAGCGACAAGGCGCCGATAGCAGACGCTATGGGGAGCGAACCGACGATATGAAGGTTTTGTCGTAATCCTTATTTGTACGCGGGGGAAAATAATGTTGCTGTAGAGAAAACCGTCATTCCATACCCGACTAGAACAAATTGGTTGATTAACGTTTCCGATCATGCCGGTCAAACGTTGGGAAATGGTTAACCAACCAATTCGTGCTGCTCGGGGAGTTTCGTTGAGACATGAAATTGAATTGAAATAACCAAATCAGCAGATTACTCGTGATTAACAATTTTCAGGATAAAAAATATTCTGATGAATGAGTTTGTCCTTAGGACACGTTAATTTGGGTCATGTGATTTAAGTAACCAATTAAAATTACGTCAGTATTGTCATTCATATCTAAGACTCTGCTCAGAATTTTACGTTTCGTCAATTCGATCGATTCTTGTGCGTTACGTAATTCAAGCAGCGGGATACATTACACGACTGCGCGCGGTCGCGTAATTAAGTTGTTCGCGTTTCTTCGGTGCCGTAGTCGAACATCTTTTTTTCTCTTTTTACGTAACGTGTTTCACGGCGAGAGGTGGCGATAGCAAGACTGACCGAAGGCGACACAGGTAACGTTGAAGCTGCAAAATTTGTTGAAACAGGTTTCCGCGTCGGAAGAGATCGAGACTGAGTCGAAAGATCGCAGTGATGCAAGAGCGCCCGCTTTGTATAACAGAGAGCAGCTTGTGCGATCGAACTTTACGGGAGATCCTAGAGCGTCGAAGGAGGAAGCAAGGCGGCAATTAAGCGGTTACGTCCACATCGTTTACACGGGTGACAGAGCTAACGGCAGCATGAGGCGTTTCGGTAATTTTGATGTCGATCCCAGGGATGATCAACGAGTGTACGGTATCGAAGATATCATGAAGGTGTCTATCATATAAATTCTTTGCCCTTTTGCGCAGAGAAAAATATCATTCTACTGCTAAGAAAAACAACTACTCGGTCTACTTTCCTTCTTTTAACTAAAAATGATCTTCCACAAAGAATAATATTTTTTCTTGATACAATGGCCTTAAAATGTACTCATCGCAAATTTAAAACAATTCGTTATCACTTACTCAAAAAAATAATTTATTTTTTCTGAAGACTATTATAAACTTTATCGAAGAAAAGTTAAATTCGATTAATTTAACCAAAGTTTGTTTTGATTTAACACTTTTGAATGTGAAGTACTAAACTATTAGGATTTGGAATATATTTGAATAAATTTGATGATTATGGTGAACTATATGGTGGAATATATTGAATAAATTTGATGATTATGGTGAACTTATAATATATTTGCAGATATATTTTCTAAAAAATCGATTCAGAATCGAGCATCCCTACTTGACTTCGATATGATTTCGACCGGATTTTTTATCTACATGTGAACCTGAGCAACTAGCTATTGCTAACATTGGATTGATTCAGCCAACTAGATACATTTCTACTCGGAAAGCGGGTATCCATGAATCCTTGCGAATTTATCTTGTAGGATATTCGAGAGAGCGCGAAATTCATCATCCACAATTTCACGGAGGGCGAAGCTTTGACGAAGAGAAACGACATGGTGAAAGCGAAGATAGAAGCTAAGGACTCGCGAGACTCGATAAGGTACGCGAAGGGCCATCAGGAGCAGCAGGGTTACTTCGAGGAAGGGATGCAATTGATTTATCATTACGGCATGATGAACGACAGCGCTTCACGAGACGTGAAATTCAACGACACTAAGAGAGCGAAACGAGCACATTCCGCGGAAGCGACTGAAGTAAGGATCGATTTGGTTCTAACTGAATGAAATATCGAGATCGTTTGAGAGTTTTTCTTCGTATTTTCATCTTTCTTTTCGACACGCTCGCGGATAGATAGTTTCCTCTTCTACCGGTGTATAGAACTTTATCTTTCGCGTCTTTCCGATATTTTCCAGGACGACGTGATGCACGTGATTCTGAGGATACACGTCCCACTGCTTCACGTGAGATCGCAGTATACGCTCATGGGAAAAGTAGGGGAGGAGATATTGCGGGGCAACGGTCTACTCACCGGAAACTTTAGTAAGAAAAAAAAAAGAAAGAATTCCGAGGAGAATTATAGTTATTAGGGATACGCAAAAGTTTTAGTTTTTTTTTCAGCGTTCTGGTAATAAAAACACGTGTTTAGAATAAATATGGACTCATGCTAGTCGATTTATTAAGGAAAACGGGTGCGATGATCATAAATGGGGTCGGCCCATAACTGGAACATTCACCTAGTGTTCTTTTTTCGTGTAGAGTCCTGGGTATCGATCACGTAACTTTTCTCCTAGGGCGGAAACGTGAAAAGTGAAAAGTTTCACGTGAACTCGCGATCACGTAACTTAGCGAAACATGGAAACGTGAAACTTTTCACGTGAATTTGCTCACTATCAAATTTGCCGACGGAAAGGTGAAAATCGAGTGACATGACTGATCCAGTGTATAATGTTACTACTACACTGAGATACAAGAAACGTAACGTAAGATTGTAGCGTTATTTTTAAGATGTTGATTAAATGTTCTAACAACAGGCTCACTTCTCCAATATTATATTATTAATCATGTTCAGTAATTTTTATTTTTCATACATTTAGAGTTACATAAACGTGCGAATAGTGAAAAAGTTCACGCGGAATCGGTAAAGCGGAAAGTGAAAAGTGAAATCTTTCACGTGAAATTACACGATCGATATCCTGAGCGATATAATCGATATTTTTTTATAAAAGGATATATCTTTTATTATTCATCTTTTTATTATTTCACATACATTTAATTTACAACAATAAAGTTAATTATGCAAGAAATATGTACACACCATAGCCATGTACAGCTTTGTACAATTAACTTTTAACTTTAATAAGTTAATTTAATTTTAACTTAACTTTTAATTAAATTAGTTTCTGTATAGGTAATTTTTAGTTTAATTAAAGTAATTTAAATGGGTCATTAACTTTGAACTTTTAATTCGCTTAAAAATAAAAATTAACTTACCTCATTCTGAATAACGCGCACTGTAGAAAAATGGCTTTCCTGGCTATAATTCTTTTACTGCGATATATAGTATATAGTTATAGTATTATAATTACAAATACATATCAAATATTTTTCTCTTAGCGAATAAAAAAACACACTCGCATGGCAGAAATAAAAATTAACTGATATCATCCTCGTTGCTTTGATAACAGCTGATTTGGCAGCCGACTTCACATTAGAGTTGAAAAGGGTCAACGGGGAATTGATGATCGTTCGCGCCGCTCGTGCAAAACTCTCAGCGAAAGATCAAGAGATCTCTCTTCAAGATATGGACGAGGAAGGCCCAGTGCGAGCTATTCTCAAGCACGGTGAGTTCAGCGGTGTCATGATACGCGTAATGAATATTTTCATTACGCACAAAGATACGACCGAATCTACAATTATCCTCCGATAATTGCGACAATTGCAATTACAGTCAGCCTTCGACATACGTGCATTTGACATATGTAGACCCGTACTTATATAGACAATTCCCGACCTAAAATCTAAGGCTGCGGATCAAAGCAGCTATACGAAATGCCATCTACCATGCGTGCGGAAAATCACTTAACGGTGTACTGTCATTATGCCGCATTTTTATTCAGATATTGCGCAATGTACAGGATAGAGATCTGATATATATATAGAGGTTTTGACTTACGCAGGGTCTTATGGAACCATCCACCTGTATAAGTCAAAGGCTGGCTGTATTTCTTGTAAAATAAAAAATTTTTGGCAGAGAAAGAATAAAGTCTTGTTTAGGAAAAAAAATAACAAAATTATTTCTACAGCAAATTAATCATTAAATTTGGTTCATTTTAAAATACAAAAGATAAAAATATTTATATGGTACAGTCTATACAATAATACATGCGAACATCCTCCACATTGACACATTGATTTGAAACACAATGCAAAGTAATACATAACTTTCCTACCAAAATAATATGCAAAATATCGAAAAGTCTATTTTGAAAGCATTTTAAAAGTATTTTAAAAGCAAGAGTTTTATATAATTGTTGAAATTAGTGCGAAAAATAGGTGAAGCACGGGAAAAATCCAAATAATTAATTTGCAAAAATACGTGGTCTGCAACCAAGATTGCTGAAAGCACAAACGCATATTCTAACTAGTTTTAGTCTGAAAGATGAATAGTTGGATATTGTCGTCTTTACGCATATAATCTCATTAGCTTGAAGATTTTTTTCAAGTGGAAGTATCGAGGTACCTTCTTGTTAGCGCTAATGTTGCGATGCGCCGATCGACATCGCGGGACGGGCAAGCGCACGATTTCTGAGAGAGTAAAAGTCCTCACTTTCTTGCGAACGAATGCTCGCAAACCGAATGGTATTCCGTGACGAGCACGATCACCACGATATTATAACTCACGGATAATCTCTCATTCACGTTGTTGACTTTCCTCGGCAGGTTTAATAGCTGCAGAGGCAGTCGCCGCAATGCTCGCCGACGACTTCGCCACGAAGGGGCTTACCGAGAAAACGGCCGACGCGGTCATCTACAGGATGTATCAAGATTTGCCGGTCAATTAAGCAATCCGCTTGATTGAGCTGCCTCTCAGAGAGAATTTCGCGCGTGTTCCGCTGACCTATCGCGCGCGCTTTATTATCTCTTTCATTGCGTGTGCAATTATTTATTTATTTCACTTTGTTTATTTTACTCTCTGTTTATTTATTTCCTCGAATAAGCCTGCGTTTATTCATTTCTTCATTGATCTGTCCGTATTTCTAATATTTCTTTATCGTCCCAGCGATTCACACATTTCTTTATTTACTCGCATGTGTATCTATGTATTCCCGTGGTCCGTCGGATTAACCAACGCATAGTGAATAAAGTGACTTCTAACAGTAGAGATTAGATTATTTATTTATTTCACTTTATTTCGCTCTTTATTTATTTATTTCTTCAAGTAAACCTGCGTTTATTCCTTTCTTCTGCAAAACATTTAAATATTTCTTTATTTATCGTTTCTCTAATTCACGTATTTATTTATTTGCCGGCACTTATATATCGATGTATTTCTGAAATTTGTCAGATTAATCGATATGTAATGAATAAAGTGATTTTCTAACATTAGAGGTGTAATTATTTATTTATTTCACTTTATCGTTTTCGGTCTTTATTCATTTATTTTTTCGGTAATAAATCTTGTTTATTTACATTTTTGTAAATCTGCGTATTTCGAACATTTATTTATTTATCATATTTGCAACTTATGGATTTATTTGTTTGCTTCTTACGTGTATATATGCATTTATGAGGTCCGTTGGATTAACCAATGCGTGGTGAATAAAGTGATTTCTAACAGCAGAACAGTACGAACGATTCTACCATGCTTATCCCAGCATCATGCTTGCCGTTCACGGAAGAGACGACTCGTTACCTTTTACGTAATTTCAATTGGGATATTTGAGTAATCGCAACATTCTTAACTTCACTAGTTAAAAGGGAAAGTTGCCTTATACTTCGGACTCCCACACACAAACGGGTTTACTTTTCGCATGTGCTAATTTTTCACTCGCTCGGCAGTCGTGATGAGAAACGACACTCTTCCGATTGACTAAACTTTCGGACATTTCTTGTCGACTTCTGCCTTCAATTGATCCAGTTGCGGACAATATTTGTTCGAATTGATGGATTGGTTGTTCGGTAGTAGCTCACAATGCACGATTCCCTTCCAGTTCCACCAAATGGAGAGCATAGCTTCCTTCGGACGCAAACCAGACTTCGAAGTAATTAATGGCGGTTCATCTTGCTTGCTCTACGACCTCTTTCGCTCAATGTTATCATAAACGATCAATTTTTCGTCATCTGTTACAATTTGTTTAAAAAATGGGTCGTTTTCGTTGCTTTTGTACAGCATATCGTAGATGGAAATGCGATCCATGAGATTCTTTTCTGTCAAATTGTGCGACATCCAAACATCAAGCTGTGCCATAGAAATCAAAGTTACACATATAGATACTTTTAAAGCAGTATTTACAAAAGAACAAAAAAAGGAATATGTACGAATATATAGTTAACATGTAGCAAAGACTTTTTGGCCTAATTTTCATAGAATTGAAATCACTTCATATATATATATATATTATGTGTTCTAAATCATTTTTAAGAAGTTTTGAATGTTAATATTAGAGAAGTAAACAAATGATGTAAGATATCTTATTATGTCCCCCTATAAAGAGTTTAACGCACGCGTTCAGTAAAATAATAATTTCGTCCTTTTAAACTGTTTTTCGCCATAGAACTTGTGTTTTTCTTATAGCGGATAATCCAGATAATATTTTGGCGTAAAACCAAGTTGATTTATTTATCTTTAATATGTTTAAAACTTGCTTAAACCTTAGCGTTCCCACTATGTCCCGGATTCCTCAACTTTTGTTTATAAATATGAAAGAGGGAAAAATCAGACCTAAATAGAAATTGCACACTTGTAGATTTACAGTATATGCGAGGAGATTGCATAAGATCGGCGCCAAGGACGGCAAGGCGGTTTATTCTAATGACAATCCGTGCACGAGACAATAATTGTCGTCATTAATCTCAGTCGCCTGTGGAAATCATCGAGGACAGAGAAATATTGCGAATGATTAGAGACAAAAGAAGGAAAGCAGGATTAGTAATGACAATTGTTTATATTAATAATAACCACAACGACGTACACGCGCGAATCTCCATACATAAAATATTAGTTCTTTTCGTGTCAATTATATACATATTCGAGTCGCCGATATGACGGAGCGTTAGAAAGCTGCACAGCCGTTGCGCTGGCGGCGAATTATAAGGAAGAAAAAAACTCCTTAGCGAGATTTTATACTTCCTCTCTCCGTCCAGGGAAAAGAAACATGTTCGGATCGCAACCGTGGCCTATGGCCTGAAAGTCTTTGTTGACATTTGCAGCTTACAGATATCGTAATTTCTAGCGTAATATTGCACCTACCCGCGCGCGAGATTCTAATATTACCGTCGGTATAATACTTATATTACTACATATTATTATGCAGTCGATATTACGTCATCATGTAGCGCGAACGCTCGCATTCTGCTACTACATTACGCGGCTGCGAGGATATAAATGGGTTTTTCTTTACTTTGCCTTCTCTCTCTCTCTCTCTCACCCTCTCTCTCTCTCTCTCTCTCTCTCCTTTTTTCTCTTTATTTGATTCACAATTTCATGTATGTGAGTTACACTCAAACAAAAATCTTTCCGTTAGCAATAAAAAGATCGCTTTCGGCGTTTATTGGTGTTGCCGCGATATCTCGTGCCGAGATTGCTTCGATTTGTGCGAATAACAGCATACAAGCGTATGATTTTTTACACGAGAAATAAAACCGCATAAATGTGTAATTTCATACATACGCGTGTGCATTCGCTACTTTTGGATTCGTACATTTGGATTTGCAGCGTAAGAGTGATGTTGCTGCTTACGTCACGACACCGTGATTCCACGCGTAAGAGTAGTAACAGTGTCAAGGTGTGTGACGATGCAGGATTCATCACACGAACGCCGAATCTCGAATAACGTGGGAATTTCGGCAAATATATACAGAGCGGGACCGGTCCGATGTTGAAACGTGCGAGAAATACGAGCGGCAAGGAGTCGCTAGAAAGGAGAAAAAACTGTTAGATTCAAGTAAACAATTACTCCTTATTCTCAGCCTTATTATTATTAGCGAATTATTTTCGCTCGGACCAAGTAATATTTATCGATAGCGAATAAAATATTTCCCAAGTAAATGATCCAAAAGTAAAACATCTACCGGGTGAAACTTACTTAATCGAAATAAAAGGTTTGTTAAGGAGTATCGGAGTAATTGTTTACTTGAATCTAGCATTGTTTTCCGTGTAGTTACAAGGGAAGACAGAGAAGAAGAGAAAGAGGATGAAGAAAGGCGCGTTACGCCGAGATGGAAAACGCCGGGCCGGGAGGATCCTCGGCCGCGCGCGATCTCGCTTGCGAAATTACTCGCGGCAATTTCGCGAGCGAAGGTCTCCCGCGGGACCGTCGTGTTATCTGCCGCGGAAAAACGGCACTTTGCTGCGACGTTGTTTCGAAAGTCAACGGATTCCGCCTCGAAAGGGCGATATATAATCAAAGCAGCCACGCGACATGATTCTCCTTCATCCTTAGACATCGTAGATTAGGACTTCGCGTCGGTTCGCCGGTTCCCGCGCGAGGAGATCCATCGTTCGCGGGGATGGCACTTGACTGTAATCTCCGGGGTCTTCTTCTTCGCGGTCTCCTATAAATTCCGCCGGACGTCGCACGCGTACGGAGAGAGAATCGCATATGCACACCTGTGTGCGCGTTACACCTGCGTGTCTGTACGCCGCGCTTGGCTACGGCCCTGACTGAGTTAAAAGGAGGCATTCTAGCGTGATAAATTCACCGTCGGCCGTCGTGGGTATGCCCGAGGTGGGGTACACCACGAATGCGGAGAAAGTGCACTTACTTTATATATACCCGTGAGACGGCGGCATCGCACGCATTTTCGATATCGCTGTCGCTAATTGCGATTTCGTGCGCATCCCGTGAAAGGGACACCGGCAATCCAGTCGAAACCGACCGGTCATCATCGAGCATGGGGATCCTCGGCAAGACGACGCTGATCGGAGTCATGCTGATCGTCGCATGGATCGGAGGAGCCGTTTCACAGCTGCGTAAGTTCGTCTCTCGTTTTCCACGAAGCGATCGACGCAGATAATCAGCGCGATTACTGACAATCACGGCCAGTGGCAATTCTTTTATTCGTCGGAAACGACTAGTAATGTGCACACCTGTTTCTCTAGATTTCCCGCTTCCTTCTTCCTCGAGTCACCGCTTTAAAATCGTACCGATACCACTTGTTAACCTTCTTGTGTCCTTCCCGCGTGTCGATCGGCATATCGTGAAACGTGCCGTTGTGGAAATTAAAAAAAACTGGTTCCGAGTTTTTGCGCGGTTAGATGTAAATACAACGTTTGATTATCTCTCAGCGCGGAATCATTCGCGCTTTATTATTCAGGCATGTGACTTTTTACGGGAAGAGAGGAGAGAATGAGTGAATAGCTGACTTAGGAGTCGTATTGAGGCTCGCGAACGCATTGCTAAAATATTCGTTTTCAATATTAATGAGTGTATACGCGTAAACGTGGTTGCTGAATAAACGGTGACCGCAAGTGTCTGTCACCGTATTGTGGGATCGGCACGCAAAGTGAGATTATATCTGTGAATGAAAAGCCGCTTCGATTGCTCTCAGCAGCTAACGCATCTGCCGTTTGCGCAAAATACAAATTTCCCGTCGATCCTGCGGACTTCTTTCCCTCGCACGCAGTTTCTCCCACAGTCGACTAACTCGCAACGGTCATCGTGTGCAGCTAATTTATCGCTCATAATGACGCTCGGCCCGTAATGCGAGGTCATTGGTCGCGCGTGAAACCGGCTGTTTCATCGGGATAAAGAATTACACGCTTCAGCGTGTAGCAATGCAGCCGTTTTCGCTTTTGCGCAACCCCCGCGCTGTAAAATGCGCGAGACTTCGTGAGCGGTCGCGGGCGCGTAATTTATCGTGGCGTGGCTCGGCCAGTCATCGACCGCGAAATCATCGATAGAAACCCCGGAAGTGTTGCGACGATGTCGAAGGAGAATCGGATGGACGCGTGCGCACGTGGAACGATGTCGTTACTCATGCATGCATAAATACGATCCACAATTAAATCTAACCTTTTTACTCGTACAAAGCCCTTTTCTCGCCGACGCACGGCGCTTTCTGTTGCAGCATTCACGATACAAGCGCGTTATTATTTACCGAGATATTGAATATTGAAAAAAAAAGTAGCATACTCGTCCCATCGGACAGGACCATCCTGTCTTTTACTAGATTAATTTATCTGATTGGTCTTCCCAGCCTACATGCAATGTATCGTGCGGTACGCACGAATTTACCGTATCAACGTCAATGAAAGAAAAAGAAGTGAAAGAAAAAGAAGACTCCTTCGCCAGTCGCCAGTTCATAATTCCACTTTCTACTACCGCGCACTTTCGATTTTAGGCCTGGCCAGTCGATTGGCCGGAAAAAAGCCGCTCTCTTAGTCATCGGCGGGTTCTTACCGTTACCGCGTTCGTTCAGCTGACGTTGTAACCAGGGTGCAACGCCTGTCAGCCTGTATTGTTCTCGAAAACGTGCTGCAAATGACGCAAACATGATGCTTACTTCCGAAGTCGCATTCTTCCGGCACGACGACGTCGCGTCGGTGCCTCGGAATTCGGCATGTATTCGCAGAGGAATCTTTAATACTTCCACGAAACTTCCACCGTTTCCAAAAGTATAATCGTAGATCGAATAAACTCGAATCTTCATTCTTCTCTTCTCTTCTCTTGTTCAACGCGCAAATATGCATGGATATTTAATCGGATTCAAACTTTATAAAAGCGTACACGCGGACAAGTATTTACGCTAGCGGTCTCGGTGAACTTTAATCTCGCGATTTCTGCATTCTTAATTTTTCTCTTTTGACAGACAAACGGATATTATGTCAGAAATATGTCTAAATATTTGGCTTAATAAAACATCACGAAATCATACACGCAGACAGGTATTTGCGTTTGCACCTTAGCGATCACGGCGAAATTTAATCTCGCAATTTTTAGATTCTCCATTTTTCTCTTCCGACAAGCAAACAGATTTTGCCACGCATAAATATGCATAAATATTTGGCTTGATAAAACGTCACGAAATTATACATTCAGATAAGTATTTGCGTGCTAGGAACCTCAGTGAATTTCGGTCCTTTCATTTTTAAATTTCACTCGCCGAAGCGGATGTTGGATCGTATTTGCTGGCTCACCAATCGAATCGATAATTCGCAGCTCGTCGCGATAATTGCTAACGTCAACATTGGTTGCATGCGAGGGATACTTTCAGCTCCTGGAGTGACGTCGTGTCCGCGCACGGACAACCTGGCGGAATACAGCCAATGTGTCTTGAAGCAGCTTCAAGTACTGACGCCGTATCTCGCCAACGGAGTGCCTTCGTTGAAGTTGCCAGCGTTAGATCCGCTGTTTCTGCCCTCCCTGACGGTGGACAGGAACTTGGAGTCGCTGAAAGTCAAAGCTAACTTGACTCAGATTCGCGTTTACGGTGCCACGAATTACGTCATACACGAGTTGAAGGCGAATCCTAATGACCTGACGGTCTCCCTCAGAGTTCAGCTGCCTCACTTGCACGTGAACGGCGATTACGATGTACAGGGCAGGTTACTGTTGGTGCCTTTGACCGGACTCGGTAACTTCAAAGGGAATTTCAGTAAGTGCATGACATGTGTTCACATAAACCTACTTTGCCTCGTACAAATCTTTACTATCATAGATTAGATTCGTGTCTCTCTGCGGTATACACAGTGGTTTTTGCGCTGATTTTTTAGATTGACTAATATGAATTGCGATATACAGGATTTTCTTAAAACTAATGTATGTCCTTAACATGATAGATTCTTCGAGATATTCTAAGACAGTTCAAATACGAAAATCTCAAGGCATCAATTTCCGAAATACAAGCGATCGAAACAACGGGAATTTTCGTAAATTAAACGATCTCGAACGACCGAATAGATAACAAAATTATTTTCTTTGATCAATTTCGAATAGACTTGACTTTTACAGAAATTTGTTTTAAACTTTAATTACAAAGATACGTTAAGTTGAAAATTGAGAATTCGTTATGAATGAGGGTCACTTTTTGACATTTTCGTATTTTGGTATAAAAAAAACTTCTTTCATTTCAAAGTCATTGACTTATCAAATATCCCTCGCATAATAACGTCGACTGGGTTCGAGTGCACGAAATCTGACTTTGGAACTAGATCGCTCAAACCATTTTAATTTCGAGAATTTTCAAAGAATTACATTTGAATTTTCTGAAAGTATTTCCTATATAGTTGTTATTTAAGAAAATATGAAAAATAGAAAAATGGATTTTTGACGCCCTAAAGTAGATAGTCCTCTTAAATCTATCTTATTTTGACTACATTTAGATAGGAAAAAAAATGTTCCTTTACTTCACGACAATGCCACGTGTGTGCCGTGCTTTTTTTTTCTCAATAATCTAAGGCATTTTAGCTCGATAAAATATCGAACGCTTTGAAGAAACGAAGCATCTAATTATATAGCAAATAATCATGTCATTTATCTAACGTGACGTTTCTCGTATTCGCAATCTTTCCATTTAAGCCGATACCGAAGTCCAAGTAAACGCACAAGCTAAAGAAATCGTCGACAACAATGGCGTGCAGAGGATTGAAGTGGACAACTTGGTCACTAAAATTCGCGTTGGTAACGGAAATATTAAACTGAAGGCTCCGGCTGCCCATACGTTAGCGGGTAAGTATCGAATTCTGCATCTGAAAATAAATGAAAATTTCTCAATTTCACCACCAGACGTCAGTACCTGTATTGTCTGCAATGATTTTAGAGTAATTCGCTTACGTATGAAGATTATTTCTAAATAAATAATAATAAGATGTGTGTGAAGATATAAATTTTTGCCTTCTCACTGACTAATCCTGACTATGCTCGTGTTTTCTAAATTTTTTAAATTCGCGTTAGAATGTACACTCGCTCATTTATATACGTTTATTTTAGCCGATGCCGCTGCGACGTTCTTCAACGCAAATCCCCGACTAGTCCTGGACATAGCCAGTCCAATTATCGAAGACACAGCTGCAACTGTGAGCAGAGCTCTGGTAGCTAGAGCACTCAGCGTATTGACGAAGCAGGATCTCGTCCCCTAGTAACCATTAAATAATCGAATTTTACAGTCGGCTGGACTTTCACGAAAAAGTAGAACGCCTAGCACAACGATGAGGAATAGCCAATTCGGTGAGATAATTGGCATATGCTTAATAACGCATGTCCATTCATTTTATATTTCCCTCTTCTTTCCTATCATGTATCTCACGATTCTGCGCCGTTTGGCCGCTGAGTGAAGCACGTAGAGCATTGTTGTTTCTTTCTTCTCTTTTGTTTTCAATGTATTTATAAATATATTTTATGTGTTTCATTGATCGTGCGCGAGCGCAATTTCGCAGAGAGCGCGGTCTCACGGTGAGACATCGTTCGTTTTCACTCTCGTTCATGGAAAGTACGTAAATGTTTACTCGCGCGGCAGGGGCGTAGAAAGAAAATACGAACTGATCAGCTGTGCTAATCTCTTTTTATTTGACAAAGTTATTTACATTTCGCTCTTTTAAATATATATATACATATATATATATATATATATATATA